ATAAATGAAGATTTTGGAGACATAGGTCCTGAGAATCAAAATAGTATAGTAAATTATTATGCATACAAGTAATTTACCACTTAACATAAACCACAGCCATGTTGGGCAATTTTTTTTTACTGTACTGTGTTAGCTGAATTTTGACTATTGTCAAAATTTGATTTGAAACTTTATTAGCACACACATTGAAAAAAACTGCTATTATAGCAATACTAGTGGTTCTCAACCTCCTGGGGTCTTGACCTCCTGGGGTCTCATGTCAGAGATCTTGTATATTGAATATTTACATAACGATTCATAACAGTAGCAAAATTAAAGTCATGAAGTAGCAATGAAATAATTTTATGGTTGGGGGTCACTACAGAATGAGGAACTGTATTAAAGAGCTGCAGAATTAGAAAGGTGGGGAACCACTCATCTAGATTGTTTTAATAGTAGAGAGCAACTTCTGAGATTTTTCAAGAGCAAAGTTCATACCTTTGCGTTTTTAGTGACTTAAGTATTAACACGATCCATGATATGAACATAATAATTGCTAGACAAATGAAGAACTTATATAGAAAAATGTCCAAATATTAATTCTTTTAGTACGTTAAGAACTGTACTAGTAGCAGTGCCCAATAACTTCTACCTGAGATCCTATCATTAGGGAGGTGGGAACAGGAATAATGAGTTCAACAACAACCTGGGTTACATGGAGAATTCTTGTCTCAAAACGAAAACAAAACCAAAAACAAACTAGAAAGCAAACCATCCCAAATTCTACTTAGATTTTACTATTAAAAATGTGGGAATCCTAAATTTCCTTTAAAAGATTAAATAAATTCATGGTAACAAAAAGTACATGTTTCAAATATGTAGTTAATTTATTCATAAATTATTTCTCAAAATATAGTAGGGAATTTCTTGAATTTGATTTGCAATTTTTAATCATGGCTTATAGATGAGAAAGATGAACTGTTGGAGAACACTACAACTTTAAGTGATTTACAGTCCCTCAAACTTATTTAGTCACAGATATATAGGTGTTATTAAAAGATATGCACACACATGCATAAACAGATATACAGGATTCAAAAATTGGCACCCATTCTCAGAAACACACATTCTTACATATATTTCATGCCAACGGCAAGGTGAAATGACAGATTCTCTGGATTCTTAGCAAGTTTCCCTTTTTTTGAGAAATGCTTTTGAATTTTGAAGAAGTCACTCTCTCCATAAGTCATGTGCATATGAATGCCTCCTAATTGCTAATGAAATATTTCATAACAACCCTGGAAAACCACCACCCTCTTTTAGCTGAGGTTATAATATCTCCTTTCTCTATCATCCAGAGTCTATAAAGCTCCTGTACTGCTGACAATGGACCTTTAATCACAAGGACAAGCTTGAAGGTCTCAACTGGAGCTTGTTATTTGAATCAACTCTCTTTCCTGTTCTCAAAAAATATATATATAACTCTTTGAACTAGGTCCTCTGTATGGAGCTGACAGTTGGATAGCTTTATGTGGCTGTGGCGCCTCTAGTGGTAGGTTCAGATCATGTCCCTGGGGCAAGATCTGAGTTTTCAGAACCTATTCGCTATGCTTGATGCACCTTGAAGCAGGGAGAAGAGTTTGGACCTAACCTCAACTTGATAAAACATGTTTTGTTTACTCCGACGGGATGCCTGCTTCTTTCTTCAAGGAGAAAGAGTGATATAAGAGGTGGTATATGGGAAGTGGGTAGAGTGATCTTGGAGCCAGAAGATATGTGTAGCAAAATATGGATGGTATGTAAAATAAATGTAAAGATAATAAATAAATATATAATTGTACTGAGAAGGAAAAAAGAAATGTAAGTGTCAATAAAAGATATATAGGTGTTACTAAACGAATTTATTTAAGAAGAAGCTGTCTTGGACTACTTTTGGGATTTTCACAACAAAACCCATTCTGGCTAAAATTAAGTGGAGATATATATTGCTTTAATAAAAATCTTTGGGAATATAGAGTTAATTTAGTTATGTCTCCAAAACATTGACCATGAGAATTCTGTTTCTTGCAAACTGACCAGTGAAATAAAACCAGCCAAGCCAGCTATGTTAATCCTATTCCTTTTTATAATCAACATCAAATTCAAGAACTTTAAAGCAATCGAGAAATGGAAAATAATATCAATAGTTCACAGGGAAAATGAGGCTCTTAAAATATGAAGTGATGGTTAATTTACTCACAGTAGGGAACATGTACATTTGAACTATGATGAGAGGAAAGACAAAGTACATAGTATAGTTTAAAATTTTAACCCAAAACTTACTTTTACATTATGGGAGTTCACACATTAATCTATAGCTACCATAACATACACAATGTGATAGTAGTTAAAGAAGAGTGAAATAGATGAATGAAATAGGATTGACACAAGAACAAAGATCCATATTTATATAGTATTTGACTTGATAGAGATCCCCACATAATTCACTGTTGGATTTCCATTTTAAATACAATGACATACACTCAAATTATTTGAGATTAAGACAGTAATAGGACAATGCCTTGGCAGTGCTGAGCTGACAAGTATTTCTTACACAAGGCACAAGGTGATAATAATAGAAAACATAAATTAAAAATAAAAATAAAAACAATAAAATTTAAACTTTTATTCAAACACACTGGAAATGTGAGTAGGTAACCAACAGAGAAAAAAATTATTCCTGAGTTTATTCTAGAAAAAAACACAAGTATTCATTCAGGGTATATTAGGAATACCTTCAACTTAATATAAAACACAACACAGTCCATCAATTTAAACTGGTAAGTGTTTAAATATCTAACTAATAATCCACAAGAGCAGATAAAATGATGGATGCCCCTAGTCATCAGAGAAATATAAATTAAAATGTAATTTATGATATTACCACAAAGCAAGTAAAACTTTCGTGCTGGAGAGAATGACGACTAATGCTGTATTGGCGTAAATTTTAAATGGCACATCCATGTTGGAGAAAGAACACACATTAGCAACAATTATAATCTTAGCTACATGGTTAATCAAAATGAAAACATATATTCATTAAAAGATGAGAGAACTCTTCTAATAGCTTCTCTCATAATAGTCAGCTACTTGAGACAGTCCAGGTATCCTCGCAATGTCATCTTTTTACTTAGTAATTTCTTAGTAATAAGAACTAGTGATGAGCACAGTGGATGCTTTTTTAAAAAAAAACATGCTCAGTGAAAGATGCTTTACAAGAATGTATATATTGCATGACTCCAATTACAAGGACTCCAGAACAGACAGAATAATGATATATTTTAAAACACTTATAACAATATTGGTGTAGATGTTGGAGACTGGAAAATGGAATAAGAACAGTTTCTAGGATATGTATGTGTGTGTGTGTGTGTGTGTGTGTGTGTGCGCGCGCGCGCTAGAACTTAGAGCATAACGGGGAAATGCACTACCAATTAGCTGTGTTCCCAGTCCTGAGAAATTTATATGATATTGAATAGCATCTGTCAATCTGAAAATACATCTGTGGATTTTATATAGGCATACAATACCTATATAAGTAGACATCTTTGGAATTGTAATGATTGTTTACCTCCTGAGTATTCAGGGGGAATGCACCGCTATTGCAATTGTTTTGATATTCATCAAAAAGAAATCAACAGATATATAGAGATATGGTTAGGTGGACAGATGTATAGTAAATATGGATAGTAAAATGTATGTCTAGTAAAACACTCATAGTAGAACATCAGTGATGGATGTATATAGCAGTCACTGTGTTGTCTTTTCTACCTTGTATTATATGTGTAATTTCCATTTCTGGGACAGAGGATTGAATCTGGGGCCTTTCACATACTAGGCATGTTTTCTACTGTAGAGCTATATCTCTAGTTCATATATTCACATTATTTTATTTAAAAATACTTGGAAGCAGACAAAATGTTATACACGGGGTCCAAGCAGCAGGTAGACAGGTCATTCGATGTACAATTCTTTAATGCTTCTGTGTATTTGAAAACTTTACAATGACATAGTTTAAACAAATTATACTGATAAACCTACTTACTTCCACCAGGCAAGAAAAATCAGGAGGTTTGTTTGTTTGTTTGTGTTTAGTTTTGTTTTAGAATAGTCAAGAAGTGATTGGGGAAAAGAAGTGCTTTCATTCATTGCTGATAGGAACGCCAATGGCACAGACTGAAAGAAATTTCACAATACCTTGAGAGACTTTTACTTTTTAATGAGGAAATTAAGTTTTGTTCCTCTACTCTACTATTATACCTGCACACATCTGAAATAACATGTGACATTATTTGTAATCAGAAAAGATGAGCAAAAATCCATTCTAAGAAGTAGCAATTGATAGCATACTCATGTAATTCAATACTAGGCCACCAAATTCTTTTAAATGCTGCAAGCACTGACATGGAGTGATTCCTAAATTATAAAATCATACAAAAAAAAACACATGAAAAGGCAAAAGGCAATTATGTCCTCTGTTTTGACAAATGAAGAGAAAACTTCCTAAGAGTTAGTATTTTTGTTGAGAAATAACAGAGAAAAAGAAACAAAACTGAGATTACATATGGGATGGGGAGGAAGAACGTGGGGATTGGGGATGAAGTGAAAGAAATATTTCTTTCAGTTTGTCTGTTTGTTTAATTGTTTCTGAGACAGGTTATTCTGTAGCCTAGACTAGTGTAAAACTCAGTAGATGAGAATGGCCTTGAACTCCTGATCCTTCTGCCTCTGACTCCTACGTGAGATTACTGGCCTATGGAACCACACTAGGGTCTGTTACTTATATGCAAATATCTTTGTATTACCTTTCCAAGAAAATCAAAGATTAAAAATAACTATCAGAATATGAACAAAATTATAAGAGTAACAGAAGAACATCATGGGCTCTCCAGTTAACTGGCTTATGGCCCTTAACCTTTTCTAAAGGTTTCGACATCAATAAAAGTTTAAAGCAAATTGAGAAGTAGCAAGAGCCTCCATACCTTTTGGTCCAGGTAGCCCATCCAAGCCAGTGCGTCCTGGAGGACCTGGAGGTCCTGGAAAACCACGATCACCTTTTGGACCAGGTGTTCCTTTGAAACCTGGGAATCCTGGTGGCCCAGGTGGCCCAGGTAACCCAAATCCTGGCTCTCCCTTAAGCATACACATATCAAAACACAAGGAAAAGTCCCGTGACTTTCCTGATGCTTACCATTTACTATAGAGAATTTAAAGCAGAGAATACAAAGTAATACTTTTCTTCCATGGTGAGGAGAGGATAATTAAATGAAAAGGAATGGGCATATTAGAGGAAACATCTGGAAGGATAGGAAACAGGGTTTAGTAAAATCAAATCCAATGCGTTGGACTGGTTTCAAAATAAGAAAGTTAAATAAAAGAGCATGCGATTAAATAACACTCTACCCAAGTGAGAAAAGGTGAATATGGATTGAGAATTAGATCATCCAAATAATGATTTTAAATTTACCTAAGTCTTATAATGCCATTGTGGTTTCTGTATAAATTTTCCATTTAGTTAGAGATTAACATTGAAGCAATTTCAGGTGAAATGATGTACTTTTGAGATTTGGGTTAAATGAGAATACCCCCCGCCAAAAAAACAGGAAAAGATTAAGGAAATGTTATTAAAAGCTTAATAATTTTGTGCCTGGGTGACAGATATATGAAAGTTCATTATATTACTTATTTTGCTTTTGTGTTTATTTGAAAATGTTCATTATAAAATAAAAACAAGCCAACAGAGAAGTAGTTTTCTCATGAGAGCCCATCAGCTGTTTTTCCCATGGAAAACAAGTAATAATGATGAAATCCAGCGCGATTAAATCATTTAAGTACAGAAACTACAAGAAGAGTCAAAATAATTACACATGCAGCAGTTGGCTGAAGGCTGACTGAAAAGTGTTTGAGGTTAAATAAGATACAATAGAAGGAGTATTAAGGGAGTTATTTATTAGTAGTACCCAATAGCAGTGATTTGCTTTATGTGTCTTTGGTGGAACTGGAACAGAAGAAGCAATACAGAAATGACTTAATACACCCAGCACAATCTCACCAATCATCACACAGGTATGGCAAGTAGGAAATGGGTTACTGTTTATATACATAAGCACAGGTAAAGCTGATCATTGGATTCTTCCATCTAATCTAACAGCCCACTTGTCTAAACAAAGGTCCGAAACTTTTGGGATCTAAATATTACCTTTTGTTCCAATATGGCTTGGGATTAGATATTTTATTTTTAAATGAAAATATAGTTAACTTCTTTCAATATAATTAAGACCTGGGCCAATGTCTAACTCAAAATAGGAAATGGGACTAAGGACAGTAGAATAGACAAAAATAAAAAATAAAAAAGGGGGGCAAGTTAAAATGTTCCCAACTGGGGCTAGAAAGATGGCTCAGCAGTTAAGAACATTGACTGCTCTTGTAGAAAAACCAGGTTCAATTCCCAGCACCCACATTGTGGTTAACAACTGTCTGTAACTTCAGTTCCAGGGCGCATGAGACTCTCTTCTGACCTATGTAGTCACTAGGCACACACATGGTACACATTCATATGCATGCAGACAAAATACTCATATACATAAAAGATTAAAAAATAAAACTTTAAAAGTAAACTTCCAGACCTTTGGTCCTGGAAAGCCTGGTGACCCAGGTGGGCCATCTGGACCCATTCTTCCAGGTGTTCCAGGTGCTCCTGGAGGTCCCGGAATTCCTGGGAAACCTGCAAAACCGCAAGACTTTTTTTTTTAATTCACAGGAAGAGCAAACTTTAAAAAAGATAGTTACATTCTCCTCTCCCTAATCATGCTTTACACAACAACTCATTAAAAGTACATGGACATTCTGTATGTCTACTCAGAACCAGGCCTAATAGATATATATTTGCGATTATCTCTCACCCACTTTAGTCTTTCATTTCCACAGAGAAATGGGTGTATAAGAAGATACATTCTCCTAAAGAATATAGAATAAGTCAGAACTAAACATAGTGAATGAATGCCACATAAAAATACAGAACTTCCCTTCTGCTTACATCAAGAGGTAGAGTGGCAGAATGTCTATCATGGACCTTTACAGATGAGCTAAATGCAACTCATGTGTTACATAAGAACTGACACATAGAATCAGATCTGATATTTTAATAAAAGTATTTGGTAGAAGAGAGAATTGTCATTACAAAAGGGGCTGTGTTGCTACTCATAAGAATAATAAAGCAGAACTATAGAAAATAAACCCCAAAATTTCGATAAATCAAGGGAATATTTAACTTGGGATAAAATAATGTGTATGTGTACAGTGAATCTGTTTTTTTGATTAATACAATCTATTAATTCATTACATGTCTATTTAGTGCTTGCTATATTCCCAGGAACTATTCTAAGCTTAGAGAATACAATGAACACAAAATGCAAGAATTCCTGTGATGTTCTTTAGCACAAGATAATTTCTGCATCTCTGAAATGCAGATAGTTTTTTATTTATCTATTTATTTTATATCCTGGCTGTAGCCTCCCCCAATTCACCTCTCCCAGTCCCACTCTCCTATTCCCCTTCCCTTCCCCCAATCCACTCCTCTTCCATCTCCATCCAGGAAAGGGTAGGTCTCCTATGAGTATCATTAAACTATGGTATATCAAGTTTCAGTAAGACTAAGCACTGTAGATAGTTTTGACACTAGATTGTTTTACAAAATGAACTCCAGGTTCAAAGAAAGACCTTGCCTCCAAAATTATGGTGCATGTAGTGACTCTCTTTTTAATATTTTATTTTTCTTATTATTTTAATTTCATGTGTATGGATGTTTGGCTTGTGACTGTCCAGGCAGCAAGATGTCTTTGTCAATTATAGAGTTTTGGAAGTTGCTTACAATGCACTTCCTGTTTACTTAGGTAATATTATATCCTTCTAGAGTCTTAGATAAAGTTGAAGAATAGATAGATAGTTATATTTTTCTTTAGTTATGATAAAATATAAAGTAGATATAAAAACTGTAATTCTTGCTTGACACCTGCTTTGCATGTGTAATTTTACTATGTTAAAAGTAAAACTTTTCTTTTTATTTAAACAGAAAGGGGGAAATGGTATGGGAAGTCTTTTCTGAATATGTGTTGCTTTTATTGGTTAATGAATAAAGAAGCTGCTCTTGGCCAATGGCTTAACCGAATATAGCCAGACTGGAAGAGATACATATATAGAGAGTAGGCAGAGCCAGGAGATACCCATGGAGCTGCCAGAGGAGAAAGACACAAGCTGCCAGCTGGAACCTTGCCAGTAGGCCATGAACTCATGGTAAAATTTAAAATAGTAAAAATGGGTTAACTAAAGGTATAAGAGCTATCTAGCAATACACTTAAGTTATTGGCCAAGCAGTGGTTTAAATAATATAGTTTCTGAGTGATTATTTTGTGGTCTGGGCAGCTGGGAACAAAGAAGCAGCCTCCTACTACAAATTGGCACCCCAATGTGTACTAGCTAAATCCACATAAAACCTGAGAGGGCTTGGAAAGAAATTATAGACACTAAAAAACAAAGTTTAGCCACATTTTTTTTCGGATGGGTTTTGTTTTGCTGGCAGCATACTGCAGCTCCTTTAAGAGAGGTCTTCCTGATTCAGTGGTAGCAGAAAAAAAAGTGCAGTTTCAAAACAGCTGCTTTCTGGTTCACCAGCACGAATGGCTCTGACTCTTTTGGGAGGTCTGGCTATGGAGCATTTAAATAGATTTTGTGAGCAGACTGCTACAACTTGTTTAATGGCAAGACAGGCCTTCTGTGAACAGACCCTGGATCTGGGACAGAGAGAATGGCTCTCAGAGGCAGTGAGCATGTCTCCGCCATATTGGACTGGGCAGAGCAAGCAGGCAGGGCTGTGTTGGTCCTAGCTATGCCCACTTAGCATTTTTTTTTAAAAAGGGTGCTTCTGGTCAGAAAATATTTCAGATACACAGTAGGACAGATTCAGACATAAAAGACCTCTAAATGAGGTGTGTTTAAAAAATGTACTTAGGCTTGGGAGAGAGAAGAAAAAACATAAAAAGACAGTAAATAAAATATAAAAGAAACAGAAAGTCATAGACTAAAGGAGTAAAGATAATAAATATTAAACTTGTAGAAAAAGTTATAGTGTAAGAAAAATAAGCCATGCAAAGAAGAAAAATACACAGACTCTGGATTATGTATATTATTGTGTTATTTTTTTTTATTTTTTTGACTGTGAATGAGCTAAGTACAGAGAGACATTTCACTGTATGGGCTACTAAGCTAAACCAGAAAATGTATTTTAAAGGTATCTTGATTTCAGAATATGGGTCTAAGTATATGCTACTTTGGAAAAGAGGTTCTTCTTTTGTTTCCACATTAGATGAGAACCTATGGATTTCTTCCAGACTAATGTAGTTTGATGGACCAAGACCTCCTTAAAGGTCGCCATGAATACTCCCAAAAATGTTTCACACAACAAAAAGCAGGAAGCAGTTTGGAGAGAACTATGAACAAATTCTCTAAATGATTGTTTATAAATGCTTCTTTACATTTAAAGGGAGATATGCTACAGAGATTTGCATTGTATGAATCTTGCTTTATTGATTCAAATTTAAGGTCAATTTTGTTGTATGTATATTTCTGCTCTTTATTAAGGCATTGTACTTTTGTACATCTCATTAAAAATGTAATGGATAATTAAGAAATACAGGTTAATAGATAGTCATCTATAATATTCAAGCTTATAGTCATGTTAGTTAGGTTTTCTAGATGTACAGAGATATATTTCAGATAGATAGTTATTATTTAAACCTCTCAAAGACTAACAGAATATGGCATTTAAAACGTTTTAAGCACTTAGACTTTTCATGAACATGAGACACATCTGCTCCTGGCAGCACCAATCTACTTTAAGAGGAAGATGGGCATCAAGGAGGCTCCTTATGGAGTTAAAAAACTGCTCTTGCCTGGACTGCTTGATGTTTTGCTGTATGAACTGGATATGCAGGACCCACAGAAATATGACTGCTGATGTTGCCTATAAAAAGTGAGACACTCCTTCAGGGTTTCTGCCTCATGAAAGAGTCTGCCAGACATTCTTTAGGACACAGGAGAAAGTGACTGACAAACCGCCAATAGAGGTGGAACAGTTTTTGAAATTTCCTGTTTCTTGGAAAAGTCTTCTGGATACTGTGAGCCAGTAGGCTGAAGATAGATGCCCCAATGGTACAGAAGAACTTTGGGTGACTGTCCAGACAGCAAGATGTCTCTGCCAATTATAGAGTTTGGGAAGTTGCTTATAGTGCACTTAGGTAATGCTATATCCTTCTGGAATCTTTGATGGAGTTGAAGAATAGATAGATAGTTATAATTTTCCTTAGTTATGATAAAATAGAAAGTAGATATAAATATGGTAACTGCAATTCTTGCTTGATACCTGTTTTGTATATGTAATTTTACTATGTTAAAATTGAAACCTTTCTTTTCATTTAGACAAAAAGGGGAGGTAATGTGGGATTCCCCTCTGCATGCTGTGATTAGCATTGATTAATAAAGAGACTGTCTTGGCAACAATGAGGACCCTAAGAGAAACATACATAGATCTAATCTACATAGGAAGTAGAAAAAAAAAGAAGATCTCCTGAGAAAAATTGGGAGCATGGGGACCTTGGGAGAGGGTTGAAGGGGAGGGGAGGGAAGGGAGGAGAACAGAGAAAAAATGTAGAGCTCAATAAAAATCAATTTAAAAAAAGAAAGAAACTATCTTGGGCCTGAGCAGGGCAGAATAAAGAGAGGTTGGGAAAACTAAACTGAATTCTGGGAGAAGAAAGGCAGAGTCATGAGAAGCCATTTAGCCCTGCCAGAGACAGAGGCCAGACAGAACCTTGCTGGTAAGACAAAGCCATGTGGCAATATACAGATTAATAGAAATGGGTTAAATTAAGATGTAAGAACTAGCCAATAAGAAGCTAGAACTAATAGGCCATGCAGTGATTTAATTAATAGTTTCTGTGTGGTTATTTTGGGAGTCTGGACAGCAGGGAAATAAATAAGAGGCCTACCCCAACAGGCCTGTATGGATGTACATGAACCACGTGTGTGCCTAGTACCCTCAGAAACTACAGGAAGGCATTGAATCCAGTAGACCTAGAACTAAGGCTGTTTAGGCACTGCATGGAGATGCTAAGAAGTAGGCCTTCCTCCAGAAAAGCAGTCAGTACTCTTAAACTCTGAACAATCTCTCAAGTCTCCAATGTGGCTTTTCATTTACATTCTTTACAACATGTAGCAAAAGAATTACATTTACTTTGTTTTATATTATGAAATAGTATTATCATATTAACAGGTTAATCTACACAGCCCAGTACCTAGTTCAACATACCTTTGGGACCTGGAGGTCCAAGAAGCCCAATCCCAGGGATACCTGGTTCTCCTTTGCTACCAGGTATTCCTGGCAGACCTGGTTGGCCTGGAAGTCCAGGATCACCTACAGAAAAATAGCAGCGTAAGAATGAGAAATATCAAAAAAAAAGAAGTAAAGTGATGAAGATTTTCTGAAATAAAGACAATTCTTTACATACCTGGAAGACCCACTTCACCATCTCTGCCTGGATTACCTGGCAGGCCAGGCTTCCCTGGCTGGGTTATGGTCTGGCCTGGATCCCCTTTAGGACCTGAAAATAGATGAATTACTTCAGAGGTAGAATCATTTACTTGACTAAAAAAAAAAACCAATCCCATTTTGTATATTCTAGGGAGGTATCAAACAGAAAGATAAGACTTCAAAGAGAAACCACGGTTTTAGGTAATTCAATGATTGAGAATGGTTGATAACTAATTTTAGGTGTCAGCAGCCTGACTGGATTAAAGGATATTCAGACAGCTGACAAAGGAAGTATTTCTGGATATGCTCAGGACCCATGAAGAGAAGGATATTTGAACCAGTGATGTAAGGAGGGAAGGTCTGCTTTCAGCCAGTATGGCTCAGCATTGTCCAATAGGAGATGGCTTGAATAGAACAACAACAACAACAAAAAAACCCCAAAACATAGGAAATCAACCCCCCCCCATTCATCTGGAACACCTATCTTCTCCTTCCCTTGATAATCAGAACATAAATTGGGCTGGGAGGAAGGTTCAGTCATCAAAGTGTCTGCTAAAGAAGAATCTGTATTGACATTCCCAACACCCATGGAAAAAAAGATAACCATAGTAGTACATGTCTGTAACCCTAATACTGAGGGTATGGAGACAGGCAGATCCTTGGAGCTAGTCAGCCTAGACGTATCAATGAACTCCAGGTTCAGTGAGAGACTCTGTCTCTAAAATTAAGATGTATGTTTTCAACCCTGAGAACATATACATACAAGTAACATTATTATACAGACTAAGCAGGTTGTGTGTGTGTGTGTGTGTGTGTGTGTGTGTGTGTAAAACAGCATTTAAATAAAAAAAGACCATGAATATGAAACAGAGAAAGGGGTTACATGATGCGAGGGGTTGGAATTGGAGGGAAGAAAGGTAAAGGAGGATAGTTTTATAATTATAGTGTAACTTTTTTGTTTTGTTTTGTTTTTTTATCAAGACAGTGTTTCTCTGTGTAATCCTGGCTGTTCTGGAGCTCACTCTGTAGACCAGGATGGCCTCAAACTCATAGAGATCTGCCTACCTCTGCTCCAGAGTTCTGGTATTAAAGGTTTGTGCCATCAACATCTGGCTATTATAACTGTATTATAATATGATTTTTTTAAAAAAATTCTAAAAAAATAGTAATGTGCATGGGTTACATGTAAATAACCACAAAAATATATACACAAAAATATAATAAAAATACCAACAAATGATTGAAAAAAAATAACAAGAAATTCCACTTTAAACAAACATTCTGTTCTCTTGCTAGGAGCATATAAAAAGCCAAAGAAACACATTTCTCTTGAGAGGAAGTCAATGTTTTATTTCTGCTTTTAAGCACAAAAATTGAAATCAAACAAACTGCCAGGTGGTGGTGGTGCACGCCTTTAATCCCAGCACTTGGGAGGCAGAGGCAGGCGGATCTCTGTGAGTTCGAGACCAGCCTGGTCTACAAGAGCTAGCTAGTTCCAGGACAGGCTCCAAAACCACAGAGAAACCCTGTCTCAAAAAAGAAAAAAAGAAAGAAAGAAAGAAAGAAAGGAAGAAAAAAGAAATCAAACAAACTATTATAGTAAACTTACCTGGTAATCCTGGCTGACCTGGATTTCCTGCCACACCTTGTATGCCTTTTTCACCTATAGGGCCTGGGGGTCCAAAGCCAACAGGGCCCATAGGTCCCATATTTCCTGGGAGACCTGGCAAACCTGGGTCTCCAGGAGGACCTCTTTCACCCTTAAAAGCAATTCCACCCTGAAAATGGAAATATTTAAGAAACACATTGATATAACTTTATGTAGGTTAGTATGAAAGAATACAACCAGGGACATGAAACAGGCATAAATACTTCTTAAATGGTATATAACTGTGTGATATTGTTAAATTGGATCTATGATTGTATCACTTAATTACTCATTACCTCCTTCAATAAATATTTCTGAACTCTATCTTCCGGTGGTACAATCCAAGAAGATAAGTAGATCAAAATTTCTGCTCTAAAAAATTTATAATCTACCAGGAGTTGAGATAGTTATCATTTATCTATCCTATTATAATACATATTTCCAATTCAAATATCCTAGACTGTATGTTAAATACAAAATGAGATTGTTGATTTATGCTAAGTGTTTGGCTTTATAGTATCTTAACCTGGCCATCTACGCACATAAATCTATAACATTTATATATATATATATATATATATATATATATATATATATATATATATCATATTACATTTCTTTTCATATCTAAAAAAATCCCCCAGAGATATTTGGAATAAGATGTGAATCCCACACTGACTCTTAAGTATTTAATTTCCTACCCATTCATAGATAGAAATAATTGATGCAGCAATGAATTAAGAAGTTGTTTATAAAACTGAAAGAAAAAAAACTGAAAGAAAATAGTAAGGAAACTCTAGTTAGTAACGTAGAATTTCAATGTAAAATTTTATTATTTTAGGCATCAGTAGAATACTCATGTAAGTACTAGGCCCAGTCTTTATCTTAATTTAGCAAGAGTTTTTTTTTGGGGGGGTGAAGGAAGGAGTTTACCAAGAATTAAATTTAGGGTCTCACAAACAGGTATGAGTTCTACCACTGAGATAGAATGTCATTCTAATAGTACTGACAATCTGACCTAAAAGGAGACTTTCAGACCAACTCACAGGCTCTCCTTTGGGGCCAGGGAGTCCTCGCAATCCATCCTTTCCAGGAGTCCCAGGTAGACCAGGAAGCCCTGGAGCTCCAGGGGAACCCAAGTCTCCTTTGTCACCTTTCATTCCCGGAAGAGTGAGGACGTCGCCAGGGTCACCTTTAGATCCTGGAAAGCCTGGAGCACCTGGAAGTCCAGGTATTCCCTGAGTTAATAGATAAAAGAGGGAGAAGAAAGAGAAAAAGGAAATCAGATTTTTTTCTAACCTACTTTTCTCCAGTTTACTCCATTAAACCACACAATAACTTTCAGTATGATGAAGTAAAGAGGACAAAATAGGGAAAGGAAAGGAATAAAATAAATCATAATTTAACATTCAAACTAAATTCAGTGTATGTGTCCGTAAGTGAAAATCAAAGGGCACGTGGCTTCTTTCCAGGCTTTTGTGGCTCATAATAGAATCGAAGCTTACTGGTAATCCTTTTGGACCAGTCATTCCAGCATTTCCTTTTTCACCCTTCTCTCCAGGGACTCCAAGAGATCCTAAAACACACACAGAATCATGTGAGCTCTGAGCCTTAAGACCCCAAGCATGCTCATATAGAAACCAGTGTATTACAAAATTAGATTCTAAACTGAGAACTTTATTCGACTGCATTTAAGTCATATTTTCCTTCTCTCATTTTCTCAATATGAAGAAATCAGACTTTCTTTTTTGAAGTTTATTTACTTTTACTTTATGTGTGTGGGTGTTTTGTTCATTTGTCTGCACACCACCTGAGTGCGCGGTGCCTATGGAGGCTAGAAAAAGGTATCAGATCGCTAGGACTGGAACTGCAGACCGTAATGAACCTTCATATGGGTGCTCTTAACTGCGGAGTCACTCTCAAGCCCGAAATCGGACTTTCTTATAAGTAAATATATTTAACAACACATATAGCATTATATCCTCAGGAGTATTCCTTCACAAAGTTTACAGCTACTAGGCACTGTGAGGTGGGGCTAGAAGCCCTATAACCATCCTATTGCCAAGGAAGAAAATAAAAAGACTGCATAATCATAATTTTCAGCTATACAATCTTCCTATATCCTTGTTAGCCCTTTCAGTTTGCCATTCCCTAAGATTTGGTTTATAAGCTCTGTCTGGCACCAGAGGTTACTAAAGTTAGAAAGAAGTTACTAAACCCCTGACTCTACAGATGAATCTCTGCACTCTCTGCGTCATTATTACTCGGGTATTAGTTTCAAAGTTAATATTTGGATATTGCTAAGAATTTCTTTACCCGGAGCCACTGAATAAGATCACGGAGATGGAATCCAGAAAGCTGGATTTGAACAAGCCCTCTGTGTGATTATTATTTATTCCCAAATTGAAGACAAACTAGATTGAAAGTACAGGTGATATGATTCACTAGCTCCTAGTGGCAACTATGAGGCTTGCTAAAAGTATTTCCAAACTCCTAATGAATTTGTGTCTTTGGTAGACACACTAGACTAGTAAGCAGTCTGGAATCTATTATCAGCCCGGACTCAGGCATTATATGTAACCTCAAGAATATATAATATTGGCATATGTGAAGAGTTAATTGAATGAAATAGTTGTGGTTCTGGAAAATTATTCAAAATTAGGAGGGAGTCCTTACATGTACAAAGAATATTGGCAGCTGGTTGCCAAAACTTTAATAGAAACCTGCTCCTTAATGACAATATGTGGTATATCCCTAATAACTCTGACTCTGGAAACCATACTTAGTATTCAGACAATATGAACAGTATCCCTAGTTTTCTAGAAGAAAAGTCTGACTCTATATGTCATTTCACTTTTGGGACAATGGAATTCTTTGAATAATACCATTGTAATAGAGAATGTTGGTAGAATTTGGTATTATAAACAAAAAGGTCTCATCAGAGAGGTAACTCATATTCAATAATTTGTAGACATGAGTAACTAGCTATAAACTGGGAAACTAACAACGTTACAAAACCATTGACATGGTCATAAGAGCCAACAAAACATTGTCTATAGGAAGAATATTTTACCTGGAGGACCTGGGAGACCTGGCAAACCGGGTTGGCCTGGAGGCCCTGAAATGCCAGTCCCAATACAGTTGAAGCAGGTGTCACCTTTGTCACCTGGTGAAAAACAAATATTACTGGAAGGGTTAATTAGACCTTCTTTATATAACTTCTGAAAAAGTCAGCTGAAAGGAATAGCATTCCTACTCAACTGTGTGTCTGCAGAAGTCTATGTCGAAAACCAGTTCTTAGACAAATAGTGCCTACGATATATAGAGGACTGCTTTAAGTGTTTGTGACACACTAATAAAATATAGTAGACAAAATTTCACGTCTGTGGCACTAATTTCCTACCAATGGAAAGGAATAATGAACAATAAAGGCAATAAATTATTAAATGACATTAAATAGTTTAAAATTAAATTTAGTAAGCTTTTAAAGGTGTATGAAAATATGTGTGTAGGGGGAAATAGGTGTGACTGAGTGTGCTAGGTGAGTAGTGGGAGAAAAGCTGCAATTGGAAACAGGCTGAGATCAGGACGGATCTCATGGAAAGGTAACTACGTAAACAAAATGAAAAGCATGGTATCTGTGTAACATGTATAGCATATTCTATGAACAGACAAGGAGCAGCAGGTAGATCAGACTGTTGAAGCTGAATAAGGAAGTGGGACCAAGTTATAGAAGCCATGCTAGACTGTAGTTTTCACTGTGCATTAAATGACAAACTGGTGGGTATTAAACAGAACAGCCATCATTATAACAAGCCCCATTTGCCCACAATGAGTATACTTAAAGTAACAAATTGTACATTCATCTGTTAGCCATACACCACTAGATATTGTAGTTATTCTCAATATGTAGATATGAAGTTATATTGGAACTATAGAATTATTAATACAACATGGATTTACATCATAAATACTATTTGGTCTTTCACATTACAAATGAATTCACAGCCAAACTACACATTTTGCTTAAAAATTTAAAAACTTTTCAACCCTCAATATCATCACAAAGAATGTGAGCCAGTCTTACAAATCTAGCTATCATATCATATTTTTATTTATTTAAATTGTATTTATTTAAATTTTTCATATAGTATATTTGGATCATATACTTTCCCCTCTCCTAATTCCTCCCAGATCCCAATTCTCCTGATGGTCCTACATGCTATTCCTAACCATTTTTCCAAACATATTAGCACACTCTATACCTTATAAATATTAAGCAATATACAAGGAATGAATTATATACAAATACAGTATTAACTCATCATTTACACAAAGGTACTTTAATAATCATTGGATAAGACCCTATTAGTTCTATTACTCCTTAATCTTAAATTCATTACATACTTCCCATATTGTAAACATAGTTTCAACAAAACACATTATGAATCTAATAACTGAATCCTCATACTTCAGTTTACAAAAATGTGTCCATGAACTGCTAATTTATGCAATCAAAGATAAAAGTATAGTTTTCTTACTTTTAAAGGATAACAACTATCCATTGGTCTTAGGAACCAAACCAAAACATTGAGACAACTCCAAATAAAATAAATGAATTAATATTATATTATGTTAATTATGCTCATAATTTCCTTCACCTATATTTACAAAGATAATTACTACCTGTTATAGATAAAAATACTCATTTAAGTGAGTTTTATTGTAATTGTATCCCCAGAAACAATATTTATCAACTTACATCATAAAACTAGAATCTCCAACTTTCTAAGCATAACAATTCCAACTATATACTTAACTCTCAGCTTTGAAATTAGAGTATCATAGTAGTAGTGTCACTTGCTACATGATCAATTAACAATTCTCCTTATGATACATACTCAAATCTAAATATCATCCAATTCTTCAAATAGTTTATTCATATTTCTTGCTATGTTCATTCAAGCTACTATGAACAACTTATTTCAATTACTAATAGCATGAATAGAAATATATTACTTCCATTACTGGAAGGATGTACTCAACAGACACTAATACAGTTTTATAATAACTTTCTAAGCTATTTGATATAACTGCATCAAGAATGCTGGATTTGTCTTAGCTTTTCTCAAAATCTGTACACATGTTATTTAGATGCTCTGGACCATCCATCAACCATAACCTCCATGATGAGCAAAACATATGAAAAATAGTAGACTTTGTTAAAGTTATACAATTTACCAATAACAAATGCATGCTGAGCACTCACTGGAATACCACTCTTATCAGATTCCACTCTAAAGAGCATATAAACTCTGCAAACATAGGGAGGGCATGCTAATAACTGAGCTCTTCTAACTACGTTCATTGTCACTTCCCTAGCAGCTGTATGCAGCTCATGACTTCTCTTTTTCAACATCTTAGGGCAATCTGGATTCCTTCCATTAATTAATTTTAAGAAAATATCTCCTATTATTAACTAAGCCAATGAAACAGGATTTCAGATGTCAAACATTGTCTTAAAAAATTCCCCACTAATAACTACATGTGCGATCCTTAAACTATTTGCCTCACCATAAAGATTTTAGGCTTAACTTTATCCTATGAAAGCAATATAATGACTCTAACCTTACGACTTTATTTTCCCCATCTACTCATATTTTTTTCTGATTTTCTGAATTTTTTCCAACTACAACGCGTATTTATTTACTAATAAACTAATTATTAAGTAAAATACTGCTTCAAATCTTCTAGACTTAACCTGGCTGAAAAAAGCAGTTCCCCCAAATATCTAGATATCCAAATGCAATCCCTTGAAAATTCCCAGTGAATCATAAAAGAATACTTAAATAATTAAAACATAAACAATTTTTTTAAATTGTTGTACTATGTCTTTAATTCTTAGTACTTTTTAATTTACTTGAGTAATTTCAATTATAATAAAGACACAAGTAAGGAACAAGAATCCACACTATTATTCAACTTCCAAAGCTTTATAACACAGTCATAATTATTGTATCTTTACAAGACCAATTTCTTCACCTTCATAAATTTCTTAATTTCTTATATTATTAAATTCAACAAAAAACTCTACCTCATAATTTGCTAACAACACAACTGTAATTAACTCTATCAACAGACACCATTAGCACCTTCAAATTATTCAATTAGTGCATGGCAAGTCTGACTGTTTTTTTACTGCCATTGCTGTGGTATATCCAAATATTAGCATCACTCCTAAGCAAAATAAAAATAATGCTACAAAAGACCCATGCAAACCTGAATATAATTCCAACCCCACCACCACCAGTAATAACTAACTTCAGTCTACCATAAATAGGTGAAGATTTAAGACACTCTTATAAAACAAAACAAAAATATTATATATATTATAATTTCCATGTGGAAGTAAACTGGCTAATGGCATGGAAAATCATTGTATTATTCAACCATAGAAACTTGAATGACCAAAACCTCTCCCTATGTCATCAATATTATTAGCCACTTACATGCTGATTTACCAGCCCCATCCTATTTCAGCACAATGGCATTTCCGTCTTTTACGAGGCATTGGCATGATACTACTAATTATCACAGTCCTCTATGCAGAAATACATTATACATTATACAAAATGGTTACATTTCCATCTGTCAGGTCTGTCGGCTGGACGATTTTTCCAGTATCTTTATGCAAACAGAGCCTCCATCTTTTCCATCTGCTTGTTGTTCTTCTCATGAAGAACAAGGCCTATACTATGGACATTTACTTTCCTAGAAACTTGAAACATGGAAATTTTTTTATTACTTGCAGTAAAAGTGAAAAAACTAGGGATGAATTTCTGGATCAAAACCCTTGGAGAAAGAGGAGGCCATAAATCCTACCATGCTTTAAGCAATAACAGTAACTATAATTAGTTAGGAGTGTACGGCGTGGACACAAATGCAAGTGGGTAAGTGCATGTTATAGCAAAGATCCATGAAATTCTTTTATTATTTTAATTTGTCAATGAAGAAGGAAGCAAGTTAAGAGACTTAAAATGATATTAAATAAATACTAAAGCTTAAAAAGAGAAAGGAAGATACAGAATCAGGAAAATGGAAATCTGAAACTACTCTTGCTATAACTTCACTGATGTGAGGAAACAGCAAAGGAGGTGAGTTTAATATTAGACTAGATTTCAACGATTGGTCGTGTTGAGTTATGGGTAGTTTGAGGTATGTCTCAGTAGGTGGTGTAGGAGGCCCTTCTGTATTTGTGTTGCTTTAATTGGTTATTAAAGAAACTGCCTTGGCCTAGTTGATAGGGCGGAACTCAGGTAGGCAGGGAAGACAGAACAGAATTCTGGGAGGACGAAAGCAGAGACAGGCAGACGCCATAGTTCTTTTGCCCAAGACAGATGCTGGTTAAACTCACACTGGTAAGCCACAGTCAAGTGGCGATACAGATTATTAGAAATGGGTTAAATCAAAATGTAAGAATTAGCCAATAAGAGGATAGAGATAATGGGCCAGGCAGCAATTTAATAATACAATTTCTGTGTGGTTATTTCAGGTATAAGTTAGCCGGGCAGCCAAATCAAGGGGTCCCACTCTCTACAACAAGTAGGAGTGAAGCAATGTTGGAGTCAAGTTATTAGAGGCTGTAATCTAGAAAGAGATGCCATATGAAAACAACATTATGGAAGAATACACTACTGTGTATATACTTGGAGTGTGGGCTTGAGAATCTGTGTTAAGACTGAACTTAGAATACAGGGCATTCTGCCAATGACTTGAAAGAATGAAGGAAGGGATGCTTGGGTATCAAACCTTTTGCTCCTTGCTCTCCTTGGAGTCCTTTATCACCTGGAGATCCTGGGGGGCCTGGAGGGCCTTCTTTACATATCTCATCACCTAAGGTTAAGATTAGATAGCAAGATAATTGTTGTCAAATATTGAGAAGACTAGGCAAAAAAAAAGTACATAAAAACAACAGAAAGGCTAGAAAAAACATATTTTCGATTACTTCTCTGTAAAAATACAACTCAATAGGTTTGTGGGTTAATGTCAGGGTCTTCTATTCGATTCCATTGGTCGACTTCTCTGTTTTTATGCCAATACCAAGCTGTTTTCAATACTGTAGCTCTGTAATAGAGTTTGAAGTCAGGGATGGTAATGCCTCCAGACAATCCTTTATTGTATAAGATTGTTTTGGCTATCCTGGGTTTTTTGTTTTTCCATATAAAGTTGATTATTGTCTTCTCCAGATCTGTGAAGAATTTTGATGGGATTTTGATGGGGATTGCATTGAATCTATAGATTGCTTTTGGTAGAATTGCCATTTTTACTATGTTGATCCTCCCAATCCAAGAGCAAGGGAGGTCTTTCCATTTTCTGGTGTCTTCTTCAATTTCTTTCTTCAAAGACTTATAGTTCTTGTCAAGTAGATCTTTCACTTCCTTGGTCAGGGTTACCCCAAGGTATTTTATGCTATTTGTGGCTATCGTGAAAGGTGATGCTTCTCTGATTTCCCTCTCTGCTTCCTTATCCTTAGTGTATAGGAAGGCAACTGATTTTTTTGGAGTTGATCTTGTATCCTGCCACATTACTAAAGCTGTTTATCAGCTGTAGGAGTTCTTTGGTAGAATTTTTGGGGTCGCTTATGTACACTATCATATCATCTGCAAATCCCACAAACCTATGAACACCTGATCTTCGATAAAGGAGCTAAAAGTATACAATGGAAAAAAGAGAGCATCTTCAACAAATGGTGCTGGCAAAACTGGATGTCAATCTGTAGAAGAATGAAAATAGATCCATATCTATCACCATGCACAAAACTCAAATCCAAATGGATTAAAGACCTCAATATCAGTCCGAACACACTGAACCTGATAGAAGAGAAAGTGGGAAGTACTCTACAGCACATGGGCACAGGAGACCACTTCCTATGTATAACCCCAGCAGCACAGACACTAAGGGCATCATTGAATAAATGGGACTTCCTGAGGCTGAGAAGCTTCTGTAAAGCAAAGGACACTGTCACTAAGACAAAAAGACAACCCACTGACTGGGAGAAGATCTTCACCAACCCTGCAACTGACAAAGGTTTGATCTCCAAAATATATAAAGAACTCAAGAAACTAGACCGTAAAAGGCTAATCAACCCAATTATAAAATGGGGCACTGAGCTGAACAGAGAATTCTCAACAGAAGAAGTTCAAATGGCCAAAAGATACTTAAGGTCATGCTCAACTTCCTTAGCGATCAGGGAAATGCAAATCAAGACAACTTTAAGATACCACCTTACACCTGTCAGAATGGCTAAAATAAAAAACACCAATGAGAGCCTTTGCTGGAGAGGTTGTGGAGAAAGGGGTACACTCACCCATTGCTGGTGGGAATGCAAACTTGTGCAACCACTCTGGAAAGCAGTGTTTCGGTTTCTCAGGAAATTCGGGATCAACCTACCCCTGGATCCAGCAATACCACTCTTGGGAATATACCCAAGAGAGGCCCTATCATACAACAAAAGTATATGCTCAACTATGTTCATGGCAGCATTGTTTGTAATAGCCAGAACCTGGAAACAACCTAGATGCCCTTCAACGGAAGAATGGATGAAGAAAGTATGGAATATATACATATTAGAGTATTACTCAGCAGTAAAAAACAAGGACTTCTTGAATTTTGCATACAAATGGATGGAAATAGAAAACACTATCCTGAGTGAGGTAAGCCAGACCCAAAAAGAGGAACATGGGATGTACTCACTCATATTTGGTTTCTAGCCATAAATAAAGGACATTGAGCTTATAATTCATGTTCCTAGAGAAGCTAAATAAGGTGATTCCAAAGACAAACACATAGGCATCCTCAGGAATATTAACCTTCATCAGGCGATGAAAGGAGACAGAGACAGAGACCCACACGGGAGCACCGGACAGAAATCTCAAGGTCCAAATCAGGAGCAGAAGGAGACGGAGCACGAGCAAGGAACTCAGGGCCACAAGGGGTGCACCCACACACTAAGACAATGGGGATGTTCTATTGGGATCTCACCAAGGCCAGCTGGCCTAGGTCTGAAAAAGCATGGGATAAATCCGGACTAGCTGAACATAGCGACAATGAGGAATACTGAGAATTCAAGAACAATTGCAGTGGGTTTTTGATCCTACTGCACGTACTGGCTTTGTGGGAGCCTAGGCAGTTTGAATGCTCACCTTACGAGACCTGGATAGAGGTGGGCAGTCCTTGGGCTTCCCACAGGTCAGGGAACCCTGATTGCTCTTCGAGCAGATGAGGGAGGGGGACTTGATCGGGGGAGGGGGAGGGAAATGGGAAGCGGTTGTTGGCAGGAGGCAGAAATCCTTAATAAATAAATAAATTAAAAAAAAAAAGAACTCTCAGCTCCTTCTCCAGCACCACGTCTGCCTGCACACTGCCATGTTCCACTCTGATGATAATGGACTGAACCTCTGAATTGTAAGTGAGCCCCAATTAAATGTCTGTAATAATAAATAAATAAATAAATAAATAAAAAAATACAACTCAATAAATAATATGGGGACATATTGTTGATAATGAACACTTCTTAAAGACCGGTATATAACCCAAACCCCAAACTAAAAATAGCAGTATAATTTCTTAGATAATCAGAAATAGAAATAATGACACATAATTAAAATTAATGTTACAGAAGGTAAACCTTAAGTCATCAAATTTTAAAATATGTAAAAAAATAATGATGCCAAACTTCAGTCAGATTCACTTACAAATGAAATAAAACAAAAGACCAGCCAAATTTATCAGAATGAAATTACAACTTACGGGATGGCAAATGAGGGCCGGGAGGACCAGGAGGCCCTGGAAGTCCAGGAATCCCAGGCTGTCCATCAAGTCCTGGAGATCCAGGAATACAAATTCCAGGGGGACCTTCATCACCTTTTTGGCCTCTTTCTCCAGGATATCCAGGAGGACCAGGAGGACCCATGACTGCTGTCCCTAAATAATTAAATGTACCCATTAAAAGTGACCAAAATGATCATATTATATAGACAATTATTTTGATTCTCTAAGAGACAGCTGGAATGATGAAATCTGCCTTTAATATAACAGTTGGACTTTCTTTTTCCATTTTTAAAATTTTAGTCTTAGTATACAAAATAATGGCTTGCATTATAGCATTTTCATATTTATGCTCATATCCATCTCCACAGTACCTTATTAATCTCTCTTTACCCACCCTCACTTATCCTCTTTCTCCACCCAGTCTCCTTTCTGCTTCCATGGCACATAATATAAAGATAAATTCAATTCTGCATGGAAGAGACAATGCACCCTATATTTTTTTATTCCTTTTGCTTTAAACCCCTTCTGTACCACACTTAGTGTCTGTTCAGTTGGTTTGTATAGTAAGTTTCTCTATGAGAATTAGCATTTGCAAGAATGAAATGCTTTAAATCATACAAATAGTTTGGGTATAAGATATGATGATTACTTAAAGTAATGGCCAGGCATAGTGGCCCATATCGCAGCACTCAGGTGGCAGAGGCAGATGGATTATAGCCAGGATGGAAGAGATATATAAAGAGAGAGTAGGTGGAGTCAGGCAGAAGCCATGTAGCCCCACAGGAGACCGATGCTGGATGCCAGACAGAGCTTTACCCAGTAAGCCACAGCCACATGGTGACATACAGATTAATAGAAATGGGTTAACTAAAGATATAAGAGCTAGCTAGCAATATGCTTAAGTGATTGGCCAAGCAGTGATTTAAATAATATAGTTTCTGAATGGTTGGTTATTTTGAGTCTGGGCAGCCACGAACAAACAAGCAGCCTCCTATAACCATGTGTATGCTGGTGCCTTCAGTAGTCAGAGTGAATCGGATTCTCTGGAACTGAAGTTGCAGGCAGTTTTATAAGTCACCAAGTAGGTGCTGGGAACCAAATTTGAATCCTCTAAAAATGCTAGCAACTCTCTAAACTACTAAAGCGTCTCTCCATTCCCATTCAATGGTACTTTTAAAAGGCTTGGAAAGAACTCTTCCCTGTACTGTTTGGGGTAGGCTCAATTGCTTTCTTGCTGTTGTCAATTTCTACACATTTATTGGTCTATTCTCTTTTAATTTGTTCATATAGTCAGTTACAGCAATATAACATAAAAACATCTGTGACATTTTAGGGTAAAATTAAATGGTGATAATATCATATATGATTTACAGAGAGATGTGGTCAGTTTAATTAATTAATTATTTTTTGGATTTTTGAGACAGGGTTTCTCTCTAGTTTTTGGTTCCTGTCCTGGAACTAGCTCTTGTAGACCAGGCTGGTCTTGAACTCACAGAGATCCGCCTGCGTCTGCTTCCCGAGTGCTGGGATTAAAGGCGTGCGCCACCACCGCCCGGCTGTTTAATTTAGCATTATTATAGTTTCTCTGTTAATAAATGTGTAGTGAAGAGGCAGTTTCTTTATTAACCAATGAAAGTTACACATAGGCAGATGAACTTCCTACATCATAAATGAGGTTGAACCATTTTTATCTATAGGTTATAACCTTGGTGGTTTGTTATCACTGTTACTAGATTTCCTGTTTATACTTTGAAATAATTCAAAATATGGGGATTATCTTTTTTTGTCAGTTTGGTAGAAGTCATCCATGAAACTATAAAAACACCTGTAAATCAACACTTATTCATGGAGAGTGTCAATATTTTAAAGTCTTCAATGGAAGTGGTTCTTAACCTTCCTAATGCTGAGCCCCTTTAATACTCTTCTGTCTGGCATCCAGAAGCAGATGCAGAGATCCACAGCCAAGCACCAGGCCTAGCCTGCTGAAGAAAGGGAGGAGGGATTGTACAAGTGTGCGGAGGGGGGGGGGTTAAGGTCATGACTGAGAACCCACAGAAACAGCTGACCTGAGCTCATAGGAGCTTATGGACTCTGGACCAACAGTTAGGGAGGCTGCATGGGACTAACCTAGGCCCTCTGCACATGAGTGACAGTTTTATAGTTTGTTCTGTTTATAAGGCTCTTGGCAGTGAGATCAGGACCTGTCCCTGGCACTTAGCTAGTTATTTTGAGACCTGTTCCCTATGCTGGATTATCTCACCCAGCCTTGATTTAGGGGGAGGAGCTTGGTCCTGCCTCAACTTAATGTGCCCTGCCATGTTATGTTCACACCCATGGGAGACCGGTCTCTTTCTGAATGAAGAGGGACAAAGAGTAGATGGGGAAGGAGGTAAATGGGAGGGGGGAGGCCAGGGGAGAGAAGAGAAGGGAATCTGTAGTCAGTGTGTAAAATAAATGAAAAATGTTAATTAAATAAAAACTTAAAAAGATAAAAAAAGAAAATAAAATATAAGATGACACAGAAAATACTGAAAAGTAAATCATTAACTCTAATAAATGTTGAAAATCAAACACAGAATAGATGGTACTAAAATAAAATTGAGATAAAATACTTGTATAGTATGCAGAATATGTATATCTGAAGCAGAAGGAGAAAACTTACAAGTAAAGTGAACAAAGCATATTAATTAAAATTTATTGATAGAAAAAAGAAAGCTGTCTTAATTCTAATGTCAAGTCAAAGAAAATTCATTGAAAAATATGCGTTAACAACACAGGTATTGTATCTAATAAATGGTGATACAATGATTACAGTCATGAACCTTTACAATCTAATGAATAGGCTTAAATGATGGTATAAAATTTATAAATTACAGGAGGTAGATTGACAGATCCTTAGCAGATTGAACAAATTAAAAATAAGGGTATAATTACTTTGATCAACATAATCAAGCTGTATCTATGAGTGAGAGAAAAGAATGTTCTAGAAAGCAAAGAATACATATTCTGTGGAAATTTGCATAGACAATTTATACAAATATATGCTATTTGACTTGAAAACAATCTACAGTATGTATGATTGGGATTCTCTGAAACCACAGTAAAATAGACTGGGGAAACGTCAAATATCAATATATTAGTATTTGCATGTTGACATTGTTAAAAATAACTTCAGAGATAAGGCAGACATATATGGCAATGTTAAACCACTAACTGCTATGCCACAATAAAATGTGCTTCATATGAAAACTCATTGACCGCAGCCCAAACAATACCCACATTCTATTATAAGACTACAAATACCAAAAATAAGTGAGAAATGGGAATGTAGCCTGACATTATATTCCTTGAAATGAAAAGAAAGGATAAACTTAACTCACATGCTCACATAGGATAAAACATGCACAAACATATAGAATGGGTAAATTTACCAGGATGAAAAAAATTGTAAAATGAAAACTAAAACAGATATGGGTGAATATGGAAAGTAAAATATATTGAAAAGAGTTTGAAACAAGGATAGATTAACAAATATAGTCAAAATAACTCAGAAATGATACAAATATAATTAGAAGGAAAAAGAATTTTACCATAATTATTTCTTTTTAGTAATTAAAAAACTATGAATCTTTACTAATAAATTTGACTTTCTTGATGAAATATAAACTTCTTACTAATAAATTTGACTTTCTTGATGAAATATAAACTTCTTACAAATTTCTTTAATAATTTGATAATAAATCAAATTATTAAAGAAAATTGTTATGAGAGAGTATGAAGCCTAAGTCAACTGCCATAGAACAGAAGTTGTCAACCTGTGGGTCATGACTTTTTGGGGGTCCAATGATCCTTTCACAGGGGTCACATGTCAGACATCTTGAATATCATATATTTACATTATGGTTTATAACAGTAGCAAAATTATCAGTTACTGGATAAAGGATCTCTGATGACAATTAGGGTAGTCACCAATCTGATTACAGTAGATGGCCAGTTCAGACACCTTCTCCACTATTGCTAGGAGTCGTAGCTGGGGTTGTTCTTATGAATTCCTGGGAGTTTCACTGGTACTAAGTTACGACCTAACTCCGGATTCTGATTCCCATCAAGATGTCTCTTTCCTTACTTTCCCCCTCCATTGGGCTCTCTGAAGTTCCCATCTTCTCATTGCCCCCAACCCACCCCCAGATTACCCCTTCCAAGGGAAATCCATGCATCCCTCTTTAAATACTCCTTGTTATCTAGCCTCTCTGTGGCTGTGGATTGTAGGTTTGTTATCCTGTACTTTACTCCCAATATCCACTTATGAGTGAGTACATACCATGTTTGTCTATCTGGGTTTGGGTTACCTCACTCAGGATGCCTTTTTCTAGTTCCACCTATCTGCCTGCAAATTTTATAGTCATTGTTTTTACAACTGAGTAATACTCTATTGTGTAAATGTGCCACGTTTCCTTTATCAATTCTTCTGTTGACGGGCATCTAGGTTGTTTCCAGGTTCTGGCTATTACAAATAAAGCTGCTATGAACATAGTTGAGCAAGTTTCCTTGTGGTATGATTGAACATACTTTGGGTATATGCCCAAGAGTGGTACCACTGGGTCTTGAAGTAGATTGATTCCCAGTTTTCTGAAAACCACTATATTGACTTCCAAAGTGGCTGTACAAGTTTGCACTCCTACCAGCAGTGGAGGAGTATATCTAGGTTAATCTTTCTTTTGGCCTAATTTTAGCTTCTATTGTACAGATTGCTTTATTTTCCCTCTGATCAGTTAAATTGTACATTTTATTTCTATTCTTCTCTAATAATGGTTCGTGTAAATTTTGGTCTACGTATTTAAATCTATATATTTCCTCTGTCTCTCCCTCTCCTCTCTCTGCCCCTCACCCCAATGTGTGTGTGTGTGTGTGTGTGTGTGTATGCATCACTCTTCATGCTATATTTTGAGACAGACCTTCTCACTGTACCTAAAGTTTAATAATTAAGCTAGACTGGCTGGCCAGAAAGGACCCAGAATCCTCCTCCCTGTCTCACTTTTGCTAGGATTAGAGGCATGCACCACTGTCCCCAGTTTTTTACATCAGGGTTATTGATTCAAACCTAGGTTTGAATGTTTGTGTGGCAAACACTCGATGCACCGAACCACCTCTAAAGTCCTTAAATCTGTATTTAAAAAAACTTAGATTAATATTTATATTCTCACACATTAATAAGGGAAAACCAAGAACAGTATCACTGGCTGACTTCTCGTCCTCATCCTATCTGCAGCTCCCCTACCACGTAAGGAATATTCACACATACAGTCCTGTGTCTTTATGAATTTAAATGTAATGTATCTTATTCAGATCTTTTTTAATCCATGATTCTTTTATCTTACCTCCCACCCCTACTTTTTCTTATATTTTCCCCCTTACTTTCAGAGTAAAACCTTTAGTAATGACTTAAAGGAAGGTCTGGAGGTGGTAAATCGTCCAGGTATCCCATCTTCTCAGCAGAATGGCAGTTTAGTAAAATATAGGCTTCAAAATTTACAGTTATTTGTTCTTATTACCGTGAAAATATTTTCCATTATCTTCTGCAAACTCTTACTATTCTGCAGGCAATGTGCCTTTTTTTCTTCTTAGGTAGGTTTTTCAGAGTATTTTTATTTTTAATATTTTATTTTTAATTCCTAAATTCTGAAATGCCAAGGTAATGAGCCTAATGGGCTTTGTAATTTTGTTATTACTTTACTCTTGGTTGGTGTTTAATGATCTTTTTACGGAGGTGTTTGTGTGTTCACGCGCTTTAAGTAGATGGATTGTCACTACCATTACTTTTCCTAATACCATTTCTTAAATACTGTTTCGTGTCCCAATCTTTTGTATATGACTCACTCATGATATTTTTGAGAAGTCCTAAGTTTATCCCTTAAGCATCATATTTTTCCTTTATAGTTATCAACTCCTGAACTCTTTTACCATAGCCTGGGAAAATTCTTTATTTTAAATTTCAACCCAAAACAGATATTTAGCTCATTGTTTTGAGATGAGGACTAAAAAGAGCATATTTAGACCATAAAGAAACTCACACTTATCATTTTCTTCCTCAGAAGGTGTTGCTTTCCTCATCATAACAGTATTTCCTTAGTTACACATTTTTTTAATGGAAAGAACCTATAACTCAGTGAATATATATGTGTGGTAGATACTGAAATGAATGTTTTTGTGAATTTTGCATAAATAGTTACACTTTAATAAACAAGATACATAATGACAGTTTAAATTTTGGTCAAATTTTAAGTGCTACAGTATACACTGTATCTTCTAAGGGAATGATATAAAAGTCAATACTGAATCAACATGGAAATTTCTAATTCAATGATTCTAGAATTCTAAATGAACAATGCTGGTTACCAATGTTGTATAGGAGACATAGAAATGTTGGCATTTGTTATGTCAATATCCTGTTCTCTGACAGCATGGAAGGTGTGATGATTCATCTACCAGATCAAGGAATTGTTTGGTACAATATATTTTTAATAGAAGGTAAAAGTGAGATTTATAACATTTAAGTCAGCTTTTAAAAGGACATGGGAAGAATTTGGCAAGAAATACAATAATACATCTTTGGTACAGTTGGTCATTTAGAAAGTCCCCGTTTGGATAGTAGAGATGGCTTAGTGGATATACTGCTATTGGGAAAACATGGGGACATGGGGTCAGATCCACAGAGCCCACTTAAAAGCCTGGTATGGTAGTATAACCTCAGTGTTGGTGGTGCAGACAGTCAGATCTTGGGGGCTGGCTGTCCAGCAAGCCTATCAAAGACAGAAAGCTACAGGTTCATTGAGAGCCTAAAAAAAGTGCAGAAAAACTCAGTGTCGACTCCTGGCCTCCACAGGAGCTCACATGGGAGGTTACCAGCACACAGACATACATCTTACACAAACACACAGGGGGTAGAGCACAGAATACTCATGTAATCCACTGTCATGCCCAACCAAACAATATGGATTAGCTAGGATACTGAAAGCACTGAGATATAAACACAATCTCTTCTACCTGGAGGTCCAGGAAAGCCAGGTGGCCCTTGTATTCCAGGAAATCCTCGCTCTCCTTTTACTCCAGGCAAACCAGGTAACCCAATATTTCCTTTTTCTCCCACGGTCACACCAGTGTCAGGTCTAGGAATTACCTTTTCATGGAAAAAGAAATTCAGGAAGCCAATGAAAAAACTTGCTCTTCTAAATGTAATCAAGCAGCTACCTATGATTATAATACTCTATTTCACACAGTTCTTAGATATTAAACGTATCCCATAGATTGAGTCTCATTAAGACTGTTCCATAGATTAGGTCACCTTCATCACTTTTACCCTCAACCTATGGGGAAACATGTAATAACAGCAATATTGAGCTCAAGACTTACAAAGCTAGAAGGATTTTTGTTGTCTCTTCTCATATCATTAACGGCTATTTCCAGTCACCTAAAACCTGGCAATTCTTTTAAAAAAAAATGCCTCTGATTTTCTTTCCTTGATCCTCTTGTCATGGTTACTGCTCTGATCTCACACTTGGCCTTTGGCTTTAAGTTATTCCCTTAAATTCAAGCCTATTTACATCATACACTTGCCTCAAACACATTTTTCTATGGAAACAACTTGTCTTAAGGATAGTACTTGCTTACTCCTGACTGTATGTGATATTACTTGTAACCCTCAACTCAGCCAAACTACCTTCAGTATCACGACCAGCTATTTCCTTGCCTATTATTTCTAGCAATGAATTCTTTTCACTCTGACCTGTCTTATTATAACCATTTCTCATGCATATTGTTTACAGGTTTTTTATTTTGGTTTGGTTTTGGAGGCAGGCCTTTTCTCTGTGTAGCCTGGCTGTCCCAGAACTCACTCTGTAGACCCGGCTGACCTCAACTCAGAGGTCGTCCTGCCTCTGCCTCCCAAGCGCTGGGATTAAAAGGAGTGTCACCCTCCTCAGTGTGCATCCTTTATCAGTACTTTTTCATATGCCATTCCAAACATCTGCAGTGCCTTCCCATAAGCTTCATAATATGTCAATTTGCATATCACTCTTTCTTGAAAAAACATCTCTTTAAAAAAGACTACATTTATATAGCACAATCAACTGAGCATGCCCAGCTTCTAGATCTTCTCATGATTTACTTGTATTCTAAATAATTTCACAAAATAACTATTTTTAAGTTGATTTGGCACACAAATCAATACTAGCAAACTATGATATTTTACTTTACCTTGAATGGATGTAAAAATATTAATAAACAAGAAGCTAAAAGTTTGATATACAAAATGGGGTAATGGTCATGGAGAAGTACGCTGCACTCGCCTGATTTTATTTTCTAATTTTTTAAAAGAAAGATTACTTTCTGGAGAACTGAAATTCTTATTTAAAAATAAAAGTGAATAAAAATATCTAATATTTATGCCAGGCAGTGGTGGCGCACACTTTTAATTCCAGCACTCAGAAGGCAGAGGTAGGCAGAGTCTGTGAGTTCGAGGTCACCCTGGTCTACAAGAGCTAGTTCCAGGACAGCTAGGACTGTTAACCAGGAAAACCCTGTCTTGAAAAACAAACAAACAAACAAAATTATCTATATTTGTTCATTATGGCCTCATTAGGTTTGACAGTATTCTAAGTATTACTACCTGAGACATACTAGGGTAAGAGGAGCTAAAATGTCAGGGTGTATAGAGTAAGTTTAATCCACTCACTGCTGTGGATTCAATGCAGTAGAATGTCTGAAGAATTACCAAAATTTCAATCAAAAACATTGGTTGAACCTCAACAGCTATTTTCTTTTTAATCTTGACACACTTGAAAATGTACATGACTTAAATTCTACAATGAATGCAAATATGGTGGCAAATCCTCAATATCAGCTCCCCTCAATTATTCTTTCCTATAGCAATTTCTGCCTTGTTATCTAGAGGCCCCAGAAAGCACACACTCAAGACGAAAAGAGGTGTGAAGCAGACAATTATAAACTGAGAAAACCTGTTAGGACTAAATCCATGTTTGCCCAAAGCACTGCAGGGGAGACCACCAACCCTGGCTTTCCCCAGAGTTCTTTCTCGGGACCCTTTGTAAGCAGCAGTTGCACCACCTGCTGGTTGTTTGAGGAAGGGGTTGACAATCATGATACAAAACCACAATTTATAATTTGGGGCCTTAACTATGAAAACGTAACGCACAGACAGAACCATAGGAGGTTAGCACTACTGGATTTTTAAAAGTTCTAATGGCTTCTAAGCCAATAAAAGTTGGTAATGATTTCAAATTTTATGTCCTGTGAGGAAAAGGTAGATAGTATATAATTTGCATAAAAAATGATGAGGCAATATTAAATTTGGGAGATGAAGACTTAAGAGAAAAACTTACTAGTCCAGGAGGTCCAGGTGGGCCAATATCACCCTTTTGGCCCTGTTCAAAGCAAATGGAGAATACAGAATTAGTATGGATGACACAGAACACTGATTGCCTCAAGAAACAATTGACTTTTATAAAGGCTCAGAAGTCATTAATAAAGTTATCAAGTGCAAAGTACAACACGAGTTAATGAAATAACTTGTCTAAGCCTACAAAGACCTTGATGTTGTCTTGGATTTACTGGCCACATAATCTTGGCCAAAATCAGTTAACCTCTCTGCCTTATTTAAAAGCTGAAGACATTGGACAGACTTCTATCAGCAACATTCGTAGGCATGAAGAAGACAATATTCAATTGTTGTTCTATTGGCTAACACTCAAGAATAGATTTCTTTCTCACACTTCTAGCTCTAGGGACATTCCTCTGCATCATGAATTACTAATTGAGAAACAATCCCATTTTAAGTATTTGATGCTTCCCTTTATTCCAGTTATGTCTTTTAGGTTAAACTAAGACTTGGATCTGGTCTAGAGAAAAACCATCAATAAAATATGTAGCTTCAGTATACTTCAAGTTTGTTTTATTACTTCTTTTTAGTTTGGTTTGATATAAAGCAGTGAGAGAAGAGAGGGCACTGAGGACTGAATATTTTGTAATGGGCTAAAAGCAGGTTAACTCCATGCTTCATACATGCTTTCTGAGTCACGTTTAAAGTAAGTAACTAAATAAGTGACCATAATCAGGCTGCATCAGTCCAATGGGAAAGCTACAAAGAACTAGCTGCAGATTTACACACAATAATTGCACACAGAATGGAAAATGCTTAAAAGAGACATTCTAATTTTACAGCTCGAAGCTTTTTGAGTAAGAGAACCACTGAAATAGTGCCCAATCCTCTTCTTAAAAGTTGTGCTGACAGGGGTTTGCAGCAAAGGCACTGACATTATAATGGAAATGCAGTCACATGGATTTCCCCATAGGCACTGTGATATAGGGCAATGTAAGGAAATTTAGCAAACAGGGAATAAAAGGAAAAAGTAGGTAAAGAAGCCATGCATAAATATAAGTACTAATTATAATGTTTTCAGTTATAATTCAGTACCAACAGGGGAACTGTTTATGGTAGTAAAAGTAAAACCAGACACGTCAAAATGCAGACATTCTTACCTTTTCACCATTCCTTCCTGGTTCACCAGGGTAACCAGGATCACCAGGCAAACCCTTTAAGAAGGGGGATAGGGTGAATCACTAAACATAGCAAAATGGAAAGATGCTAAATAATCATGTTCTCCACAGAAGCAATGAAAATACCAATTACATCAGCCCATCAATAGAATAGGAGACACAATACATACAACTATTGCTATCTGAATTTCTACAAAGATGCCAAGAAAACACACTGGAAATAAGAAAGTATCTTCAATGAATAGTATTGGAAATCCTGGCTATCAACATTTGAAAGAGTGAAACTCGATTCCTATCTCTCACATTGTATAAAACCCAACTCCAAATGGACCAATGGCCCCAAAGAAGACATAACACCCCAAAAAAATGCTTCACCTTAGAGGTATGGGCAAGGACTTTCTGAATAGGAGTTCAGTAGAACTGAAAATAAAACCAGTAACTGATGTGGTAGTTTGAATGAATAAGTACCCCCTGCCATAGGCTTTACCATTTGAACACTTGTTGCCTAGTTTGTGGAGGTCTAGGATATACGGCCTTACTGGAGGAAGTATGGTACTGGGGCAGGCTCTGAGGATGCAAACCCTTGTCCCATTCCTAGTTTGTTCTCTCTGCTTCCCACTTGCAGGTCGGGAAATAAGCTCTCAGTTTGCTGATCCAACTGCCATTCCCGCTGCTTCTCTGCCATGAGAGACCGTCAACCCCCTGGAACTTAAGTCCAAACAAACCCTTCCTTCCTTCCTTCCTTCCTTCCTTCCTTCCTTCCTTCCTTCCTTCCGGAAGTTGCCTAGGCCATGGTCTTTTGGCACAGCAGTAGAAAAGTAACTAAGACAATCGACACGTGAGATCTCATTAACTTAAAAAGCAAAGGAAACTCATTCAACTGAAGGAGCAGTGCACAAAATGGAATAAAATCTTTGCCTGCTATACATTGTCTGACTGAGGACTGGTGTCAAGAATACACAAAGAACTCATAATACCAAATAAGAAGAAAACACGCAACCCGTTTAAAAATGGGCTGCAGAGTAAGAGAAAATTCTCAAAAGAAAAAAAAAAATGACAGGAGCTGGAGAGAATGGCTCGGTGGTGAAGAGTGCTTTCTGCGCTTGCAGAGGACCTGTTACTAGTTCCCAGCACCCACATGGTGACTCACGATCATCTAGAACTCCTTCTGAACTCCTCAGACATGAGACATGCACATGACACAACACATATATGCAAGCAAAACACATATAAATAAACAAACAAATAAATCTAAAACAAAAAAGAAAACAAAACATATGAAGGGCAATTAACAATGTATTGGTCAACACTCTTAGTGATTAGGGGAATTCAGATTAAAATGACTTTAACACTCAATCTCTTCCCAGTTGAAATGACCGTCATCAGGAATATCAGGAACAACAAATGCTTATGTAAATGTTGGGAAAGGAGAATATATTGTTGCTGCTAATGTAAACTAGCATAGCTACTTTGGAATTCAGTCTGGGGATTTCTCCAAACACCAAAAAACTAGTATACTATATTACATATTTTATATATATATATATATATATATATATATATATATGCAGCTATATCACGCCAAGCCATATGAGACTGTATATCTTACTACAGACATACTTGCACACCCATGTTCATTGCTGTTATACTCAGAGTACTTAGAAACTAGAGGCAGCCTAGAGTCCCAAGAACTGATGAATATAAAGAAAAATGGAATTATAAAATTTGTGGGTAAATGTATGGAAATGAAAAAAGTATTCTAAGTGAGAAAATCCAGTCTCCCAACTACAAATGCCACATGGTCTCTCATATGAGAATCAATTCTTTTTTATGGTATGTCTCATGTACAGTACCTGTGCAAACCAGGAAACAAGGAAAGAAATGGGGGGTACAGAGAGGTTGCTGTAAAGGATGGGGGGGGGGTGATAATAGACCAAAAGTAAAGAGAGGGGGACACTGTGTGCAAAGATTTAGTCAGAGATAGAGGGGCAAGACTGGAGAAATAAGGATACGGGTGTGGGAGGCTTGACAAGGATGAAGGGAATATCAAGAAACCATTTGGAAAGAAAGATGTTTCCATTTGTGTGGTAGCAGCTTGACTTGTGGTGGGATCTAACCAGTTGCCCTCTGAATGGATTCAAGACTCACTCAACATGAGGCAGGTCGAAGAGGGGAACGCAATGTCTGGTATAAGCCTGGCAAACAACCTAAGTCTGAAGAGGAAGTAGGCCCATGCAGTGAATGTCTTCTGATGGTTAACTTCCAGACCTAGCAGCTAATGCCTTCTAGATACCTCTGCTCATATCCACAGACACAGTATTCCCCAGCCTTAATCCTAACAATGAACAGCCTCTCCTAACAATGAACAGTGGTAAATGCAAACACGTAGAGCTGCCAGTGATACTGAATATAATAAGTGACAGTTGTGGGCCCAGCCACAAACAAGTGACTTATACCACCCCCTCGAAGACTCAGTGGACATTGTGGATGAGGAGGCAGGAAGTAGTAAGAACCCAAAGATAGGGTGAAGGGCTACTAAATGCCATCAGCAGCACTTAATTCCACTACTGTAATCATTAACTGACCTCAGCTGAATCTGCCTGTACTGCGACCAGTCCAGACAGAGCAATCAGTCAGAAAAGGAGGGGAGACTCATGGTGCCCCATCCTCTGCCGCTGAACGGCTGACTTTTAATAGATTCTGCAGGAGGAATCAGTCTTTAGTTATGTTCCCTCCTCTGCTGAGCCCTCCAACAGAGAGCCCCAAACTCAGTCTTACCAAGGGCCTGGATTCATCTTTCTGGGCCACAAACAAAATGAATGGACATGAATACATGCAAGAGATTTATGTGGAGGAAGGGAGGTGGGAGGCGAGTGAGGTGAGGGTGGTCAGTATTCAAGATGTACATATATGAAATGGTAAATAATAACAATAACAATGTGTGGTGTGACCAGCCAGTCTCTGCTCCTGCCTCCATGCCTTCCTTGCATGCTGCGTGTCTTCCTCACCATGGTGGACTGTATCCTTATGTAGAAGCTTTTATTATGTCATTACAGCAACTGGGAATGAATCTAAGATGATAAAGCATGCTAATTACATCTGCCTTAAAACTACAGATATTTCAAGTTTATATTCAAAGTGGTGATGATAATTTCCATTTCTTTAAGCTATTTCAAAACTCCATACTGTGTGCCCCTACCTTTTTACCACTACCTACAAATAGCACAAACATTACCAAAGATTTTTGTTGTTGTTGTTGTTAAAGGAAAGGGCCATAGTTACTCACTGGGATTCCCGGTTGGCCAGTCTCTCCATCTTTGCCTGGTTTACCCTGTACGATACAAAGAAATGGTGGAGCCAGAACAAAAATTTGTTATTTAAAAAGTAGAAAGTTAAGGACTATAGCAATCATTAATACTACCTTTGTTTTTTAAATTTTCAAGACAGGGAGTTTCTGTGGCTTTCAAGTCTGTCCTGGAACTAGCTCTTGTAGACCAGGCTGGCCTCGAACTCACAGAGATCGCCTGCCTCTGTTTCCTGCTGGGATTAAAGGCGTGCACCACCATGGGCCCAGCCTTAGACTTGTCTCTGCCTTCTTAGTGCTGGGATTAAAGGCATGCACCAGCACTGCCCAGCACATTAGTACTACCTCGAACTATATAAACAGACTTTATAATGACAGTTATTATAATAAGTTATACAAGTAGTGATATTTTTCAGGCAGTGAAATTAGGACTTAGAAAGAAACATACCCACATGAGTGTTGTAGAAATTAACTATGCAAAGATGTGTTATATTTGTTTATGCTGCAGAATATTACTTTAACTATGTAAATGTGTGTTACATTTGTTTCTGCTGCATTTGTTTAATGATGTGAGGATGTGTGTTTAATTATGTAAAGATACGTTGCATTTTGTTTACCTTGCCTGCCTAAGGCACCTGATTGATCTAATAAAAGACTGACCAGCCAATATCTGGGCAAGAGAGGGATAGGCAGGGCTGTTAGGCAGAGAAAATAAATAGGAGAGAGAAAAGAAGAAGAGAATGAGGGAGAAAGAGGGGGACATGCCTGGAGCCAGAAGCCAGGCAGCCACTGTCCAGACATGAGAAGCAGTCTAAGTAAGATGTACAGAAGGAAGGAAAGGCACGGTAAAAGACCCTGAGCCAAACACAGCTAAAGAGAAACAGATTAAGTTATAAGAGCCAGCAGGAAACAAGCCTAAGCTAAGGCTGAGCATTCATAACTAATAATAAGTTTCCATGTCGGGATTTGGGAGCTGGTTAGTGGCCCAAAAGAGAAAGCCTGGTACATATAGCATACTTAGAATTTTTATAAACACTACTAGTGATCATAACACTTACTCTTTTGCCTGGCTCTCCTGGCTCACCCTTTTCACCTTTCACACCACCTGGAGGACCCTGCACACAAACAGTAGTTTCATGAGATAGTGTATATCAGTACCAGTTCATATTAAATGATTCTAAAGCATCTTAGGATACTTACTGGAGGACCAGGTATTCCTGGAGGTCCAGGAGGTTCCTCTATCACCAGGAACTCCCTATTCAGGTATAGGGGAAAGCAAAGCACATTAGTACTAGAATATGTGTTCTCACTCTACTAGAACTCGGTAGAGTTCTAACTACTGAACATGTTTAATAATGTGAATTTTAGGTTCATCAGATATAAATAGACAGCAGAGTGTTTTAACTCAAAGCTGAAATTGGAACACAATATAAAATTCTTTCCTCACTTCAGTTAATATCTGGTATCAATACCAGCTAAATAACAACATATGTAATAAGAATTCTTTTCATTCATGTAAAGTATTTTACAATAAGCAAAAGAATATAAAACTAGAAGATTTGCCAGCTGCATAACAATGTATCTTTTCATAGATAATTAATTGGTTTAATTTGTATTGATAGTAGATTTTAAATATATTTAAAATCTTATCAGCATTGAAGTGAATTAAAATGCATATATCTTGTTTGTTTAAAGGTAGGTCAGTGTGCACTAAAAGAACACTTGGTCTTCTTTCATGGCATCAGAGAATGAAAGTATTATAATGACAATGTACCTTAGCACTTCCTGAGCTTAGCCATGAATATAAAGCAAGGAGCAAAAATAGAAACATCCCAAATGGTCGTCAGCAGATGAATAGGTAAGTAAAGCATTTACGATATCCACACAATGGAATATAATTTAGCCATAATAAGGATAAACTACTGCTTCATGATAAAATTAATTGAAATAAAAACATTAAGTCGTATAAAAACAGCCAGCAATGAAGACCACGTATTGTATGATTTTGTTTATATGAAACACCAACAATAGACAAATTTACAGAGCAAAGAGATAGAAAATGGAGAGTTAGGGGAGAATGTGAAATGAAAATTAATAGGCCTGCGTTTTTACACAGAGTAGATGAGAATTTTCTAAAAGTACACTGTAGAAACAGTGTGCCTACCTTGTGAATAGTAACAAGTGGATTATAGATTTTAAGGATTAATTGTTTGGCATAAAAATGATAGCCTAATAAAGTTAATTTTTAAAAATTTAATTATTTGAAGTCTTTGTTATTAAAAGAACATCCACATTTAAGAGTACATTTCTACATACAGTTTGTTTTAACAGAAAGCAAGGTTTTTTAAAAATTTTATAGAATTTTATAAAATTTGATTAAAGGAAATATAAGTGACAAAATTGTACATATTAATAATGCAGGATGGAGGTGCAGAAGGTAGAAGGGGGAGGACATGGAAGGAGAGGAGGGAGGGGACTGCACGCAGGATGTAAAACAAGTGAAAAAATTAATTAATAAAAAGAATGCAAAATGTGATATCTGAATATTCCAATGCACCCTGATATGATTCCCACAACCACAAACAAGATAATAACATAGTTATACCAAAATATCAAATTCCCCTCCCTGGGGACTCACCTGATCTCCTTTCTGAAATTCTACATCAATTGGTCTTTTCTGTTCACCGATCTGTCCAGGTGGACCCGGTGGGCCCTGAAGACCTTGTTCACCCTATTTACACAGCAAAACATACAGTGATATTTAGTGTCTACTAAAAGTAATAGTATAGACAAGCTATGTCCATTGGAAGAAACAGGGCAAGAAAAAAAGGCAGTCCAAATGAGTATGAATGAAGAAACATGAAGGCTGAGTAACCCACTCTTTTTCTTTACTCACTTTTTCACCTTTGGGTCCCTGGAAATTTAAGCCCATATTCCCCTGAAGAGAGAAGTTTCAGTTTAATTTCTCATTAATATTAAGAAAAACTAATCTATGCAAAATAAATCACGTAACAAGAAAGAACATTACCTTTGGTCCTGGTGGGCCTGGTGGACCAGGAGGGCCCTTAGAAGACACGGAAAAGAGGAAAAACATTATATTAAGATGTTTCTTTACAATTATTTGGTTTTAAAATGATTTTTAAGACTAGAGATATAGCTCAGTGATAAAGCAACTGTGTACTAAAGTGCAGGGCCACAAACAACCTATTTTTTCATTGAATTAATGTCACAGTTGAAATTGATTGAAACAATCTAGACAAATGTAGAAACTTCTGGTGACAGGATGGGAACTGACAGGGGGCAGAAAGCTAGGACTGATATGAGAGAGGGGTAAATAGTGCAAGTGCCAAAAACAAATAACTAATTAGCTTGAACAAACACGTTTTTATCAGAATATGGGTAACAAAGCACCTACAACAATGAAGTTGATTTTTAGGAAGCGCACGTTCTCCGCCCCCCCCCCCCTTTTTCTTTCTTTGAGAAAGCATTTCTCTGTCCTGGAACTTGATCTAGAGACCAGGCCAATCTGGAACTCACAGAGATCTGCCTGTCTCTGTCTCCCAAGTGCTGGGACTAAAGGCGTGCACCATGACACCTGGCCATGTGTTCATTTTTAATCCAGCTACGTTGTATGCAACTGTATTTGTGTTTCTGAAAATGTCTCAAGGCATGATAATTTAGACATTTCTTGGTCACCGTCCATAACTATACAGTAAGACCCAATTACTGAAGACAGCTTACACTTTGGCTGCGGTAAAGAGAGAAACCAATCTCAAACACACCAGGAAACTTTCTCCCTGCTGGCCAGATTTCATTGTGCCAGAAGGTTCTGTGTAAAGTGCTGGGAAAGAAAACACATCAAACGTATTGATGTGCAACAGTGCCATGACTGTTATTGGATAACTAACCATTTTCTGACTAGACTTGAGGCTTGTTCTGCAGGAAAGAATGCCATACCTCATACTGTAACCCTGGTCAAAAGGCTGTGGCTGGGGAGGGCTTAAGTCCAATGGTAGAACTTGCTATTGATATTTAGGTAAATGGTCATGCTGTCTACATGCATGGGTCTTTAACCTTGGTTAGAAAAGCTTCTTTTTTGTATTAGGGAGTAGTCAGTGAGAGACATATATAACTTGTCAAAGTTCGGAGACTAAGAAGCTGAGTACTAACTACTGCATACAGATTATTTTATTTACTGTAGTTCATTGCTGAAAGGCCATCATGCATTTTCCCTTTTCCCTATGTGTTTCACTGAGCATTTTTATGATGTCGTTTATCATGGAGAATGAAAAGGCTACTTGCTCAGTTGGATTTTGAAAAATCCAGGTTAGGACCAGAAAAGAGAAGATTTCACTAACATTTCTCATCAATTCTCCTTCCACTGGGCTCCCACAAACAGGCAGACAGCAGTGAACCCAGAATCTTTGCAGACAAAAGACACATCAACTGAGCTTATAGTCAGCCCAGAAACCTTAGCAGAAGGTGGGGGTGCATCTTTGAATGACACACTGATGTTCAAGGTAGACAAGAAGAAAGACCTTGCATTGGGATGCTGAAACACCTAACACCTGGGCAACAATCAATGATTTGAATTTCATAAACATGGAAGTTCTAGATGTGCCTTTGTTTTTAGTTTAACTATACACATTGTCATTTGATGTTGGAAATAATCAAACTGAATGAGACTGAAACGATAAAGAAAATGTCTGAAATAGAAAAAGCGAGCAACTGAGTGCTCAGCCCTAAACTGGACATCTGTATCAAGAGCCCTTCCTAAGGCTCAGGGAACACGGAAGAAGAGAAAGTAGCAGGGCTATCTGGAGGATGAGAAGGAGGGCTGTGAGTGTTGCCTTCTAGACATGACTTGACCATTGCGCTCTTGAACTCACAGAAACCAACCTTACCTACCCAATAACTTCACAAGTTCATACCAGCAAAAATCTTATTATAGATAGGGTAGACGACCTCCAGGCTCCACCCCTCATTGACAGTTGCGAGAGAAGGGGGCAAGCATCCTTTCTGGAGGATGTGGCCACTGATGGAATCCCCATTCTCCAGTGGATGGCTTCACATCCATGAACTTATGGGCAGCAAGAACTGTACGTAAGGGGTTCCTTTTTAAACCATGAGGTTGGGAGGGAAATGTTGACAGAGATAGAAGGAGAGTTAACGGGGTGGGTGATATGGTGATGAACATGATCATATTTCACGTATGAAATTCTCAAGAATAAAGACAACATTTTCAAAGGAAAAGTTAATTAGGCATTTGTTTGCCTATGTATGACATTTCTAATATAAGCACTCTCTGTATTTATGCATCATATCTTAGTGACACTAATAAGACTTTACTTCCTCTGTTATTGAACAAGGGTCTTTTGAAGGAATATACAGAAGTGTGGAGTGACTGGGTTAAGTAGTTTGCAAAGGTTAAAGAAATTTAGGGTTTGATAACAGACTCAGACGACGCCAATACTGTGAAGAGGTGCCATGGCTCAGAGTCCCCTGCTTTGCAGGATGTTAATTAAATAAAAGTGAAAGGGGGCATATTTAAGCCTTTTCTAAGGAGTTCCAGTAGATTCTTCTAGAATTTAGCATACATTATTTCCGCTACTTAAGTGTAAGAATCGATTGTCACAAACAAAAGTGCAGGTATAATGAAAATTGTCACTTAAATACATGGTGTATGGGACACAAAATGACATGTGAAAAATTACTTTGACAGGAATACAATTTTGTTGGCTTTTTAAAAAGAGGATGGCAGCAAAGATCTAACTCCACGACCAGAATGAAATCTAAGCATTACAAGAGGATTTATTATCTTTATTTTTTTCTGTGCAGGGCCTCATAGATGCTAAACAAGCATTCTCCCATATGTCCAGCTCCCATTTCACATGCTTATTTTTATGTGTGTCATTTTTTACCTGTATAAAAATATTGGGGCTTTGCTTTCTTGGGATTCACTCTTCACTACAACAGTCACCATTAAATAACAAAATTGAAGCCATGAATATTAAAATTAAGTTAACTTTCAAGTAATACAATTAGTAATCATATTTGTGCATCAGAAAGCAAAAGAGGAAAAATATAATCATAGAAACTTACCATTAAGCCTGGTTGTCCTGGAGGACCACTTGGCCCTGATATACCCTTGGGACCAGGTGGACCCTGTTATAAAGGGAGTAAAGAAAATGATGAAAAACAAAATCCCCTAAGTTTAACTGTTTATCTTATAAAAAAATAAATGTTTCTGACTTAAGTTATTTTCATAATCTATATCCCTGCGATAATATCAGAACTTAAAATTATACAAACAGAAGGGTTAAGTATCTTATATGGTAACTCAATAAAAGAGATTGGATACAGCTTTCAGAAAAACTGTGTTCTATAATAATAGATAAAAATATGATAAATGCATAATGAAAAACTATAAATAAACTACAACCAAACAAAACAAATGATGAATCTTAACAAGTCAAGAGGCACTATAGAAAATTACATAACTATCACATGTAATAAAGGAAACCTAATATAGTTTAGGGAATAAAGCTACTTTAGAATCAACAATTTAATCAGGACACTAGCTATATATTGAGAAAATACAAAAGGATGTGGCTGTCAAGTAAAATCACATTGATACAAAATTATTTGTGATGTTTTAGTTCTTAAACATTCTGTAGGGTTTGGGAGTATTCAAAGATGTTCACTTTGCATTGTATCAGCATATATTCTGCATGTACTGTTATATTTTTATCTTACAAATTCATAATAAACTCCATGAGCTATCAAGAGCAAGATTGAACAAACTCAAGAGAGTGTGACTGGTAATGTCAGGTAAAGAATGAAAAGAGAAAAACGAAAATAAAAAAAACCAACATTGTACTTTGGTGATCAAATAGCAAAATCTCCTGGTCTGTATTTTTGGTAAAGGGATTGATTCTGCTAAACTAGAAAGCACTTCCTTGTCTAAATATACTGAAAAGCCTTTGTTGGTTTTCTGTATATTATCTATAAACTAACAATCTTTTTGTAAGATTAGACCTGATATTTATCATACATAAATTGCACTCCTCCAGTCTTCAAAGTATGATCATGCATAAGTGATACTAATACAAATGACATTTTTTATATCTTAAGAAAGATCAATGATTTTTATTTGTTGAAAAGCACACTTAAAGTGGATTCTACTGCTATCTATAGCATGAGAAGAATCTAGGAAGTTATTTTTGATGCTAAACTGTACTGGCACATACACTAATATCCATGGACCATGGATATAAAGATAAACAAATGCAAATATGGCTTGTTAAAACCTCTCTGTCTCACGCTGTTTTTGATAGAATACATTGATGCCTTGTAAACTTCAAATGCTAATTTGTATAACTAAACCAGGGAGTACTGACGGACTTGCACAATCTTCTGATTTAATCATGCAGCAAGCAAGAAAATCCCTATATGCTTACTTGTATTCCAGGAGGACCTGGGTATCCTTGATCACCCTTTGGACCTGGCAGTGATGTCATGATTATACTACCTGGTTCCCCCTGAAAGAAACCAACAATGTGAGTTATAATCGTTATTATACATGAAAATCAGCAAGATCATAAATAGAAATCTGAGAGTTCATTTTAGCATATAAATACAGGGAAAGAATAAGCACACCGATAATTTCATGAACAAATTTACCTTCGAAAAGTAACTTAAGAAGTAGCCTTAGTATGCTGAAGTACCGTGAATTTATTACAAGTTTGTGACATGTTTAGATATTCACTAATTAAAAATATGTATTAGATATAAAACATTTGTGCAGAATTGTGTTAGGTTCTGGGTACTTAGGAATAAAGAAAGTAGAGCCTCTTTTTCCATTTGGCTAACAACATAATGGGGAAAAATAAACCACAGCAAGTATAACAAGATAGTAGTTCTCTCACAGTCTCTAAAGTAAAACAAAATGGCATAGTGATTAATATGTAATATAGAGAGTTAGCTAGGCAGTGAAAGAAGAGTAACATGTGAAAGTAATGAGTAGGTCTCAGCCTGCAGGATAAGTGTCATTTGCCACAAGTAGCTAAATGCTGTACTGACTCAGTGACAGAGTGCTTATCTAGCATTCATGATGTCTGGTATAAAAAAATAATAATTTTAAGTTCTCAAATGAAGTAATTTCAGACCAGTGGTACTAGTGATCCAGGTGACTTAAGATAAGGCCGTTGCTACAACAATACCCAGCATGACAAGATAGAGCGTTACTATTATGGAGTATCTGGCTGATCTCTAATTAGTTTTAAGGCTCACTCCACACACAATAGGAAACTCGTGCCTGGTAGTGTAAATCTGCCCAAGAGTCCATTGCTGGGGAGCTCATAGGCATCAGTGAGTAGACCTAGTACTATAATTTTATCAAATGGACAGAGTATCACACTGCCCACTAAATTCATATGTCTCTACCCATTAGATCTCATCCATTCAACCCTTAGATCTCAGGAGAGAAATTTCTTTGTGTGCTGGAGAATGGTTAATGCAGAAACTCACAACTGATCAAAGTACAGAGAATAAACATTAATGAAATGGTGAAATGTGTATCACATTCCTCCTCCTAAGATTTAGAGAACCATGGAAAGGGGTCAGAAAAATTACAAGCATTAGAAGTCAAGGACAAAACAAACAATTATCTTCTGGACATAATGCAATTCACGGTGTCTGTGGTTGCCTGCACAAGACCAGCACAAGATTAAGCCAGTCAACATTGCAGCGTGGAGGGAGGTGGGTCTCATGAAAGCCCTCCCCCATCGGAGAAGTGATTGATAGCAGATGGAAGCTGGAAGAGAGAGAATCAATTATCATTAAGGGTATGGCTCCGGACAGGGTGATCATGCGTCAGTAGATGGACCTATAGCCATGAGAATATGGACAGCACAAATTGAACTCAGTGGACTATGGGAAAAAGGGAGGACATGGAGTATGAGAAGGTGGAGGTGGACCTGGAAGAGTGGGGGCTAAATAGAAACAAAACATGTTGAATGTATATATTTTCAAGAATTAATAAAAACACAACTTAAAAGCCATGCAATGTACTGACACAAAATTTATATATATGGGGATTTAATGGATTGGGCAGGGTTATTTGAGGGTTAACAAGGCATGTCTTGCTATAACTACATCATCATTAATAAATACTGCAGACATTATTAATGTCACGAGTCATAGAGGAGAAGGAAGAGTCAGGCCAGTTTCTTGATGACTGCTAGACATAATACAATGAGTTTGTACTGAAGGTTACAGAACTCTCTGGTGCAGAAAAAACTATGAAACTAGAATGTTACAGAAGCTAGAGATAAAGAATATACACATTTCTAGAGAGAACCAACGGTTAATCCTATCAAAGTACAATACAACAAAGTCTAAAGGTGGCAGAAAAGAAAGATTTGAGCATAACACATACATTTTCAAGAATGTCAGTATAGAACATTATACTAATTAAAGAGAGTTTCTCCATGTATACCTGCATAACTTCTATATATACCCATTTGGAGGCAGAGACTATAGACTTTCTACATATTTTATTTAAACTGTTTATCTTATTAGCATGAATGCTTACCTTCATACCTGGGATCCCAGGAGGTCCCTATTATTAAAAAGAAAGAAGTGACTTTTATACAAATTGGGCAGGGGTAAACAAAAGAATACATGCTATACAAAAGGAAAATAATCTGAATAAACTTCCAAGGGGCAATTTCATAATATTTTATATTATAGGATTCTTATAGGTAAGATTTCTATCACTTAGCATGAATCCATGGTTTTATTCAACAGGAAGCCCTTTAAGCCACTTCTTTTATTTTTTAAATTTATTTATTTATTAAGGATTTCTGCCTCCTCCCCACCACCGCCTCCCATTTCCCTCCCCCTCCCCCGATCAAGTCCCTCTCCCTCATCAGCTCTAAGAGCAATCAGGGTTCCCTGACCTGTGGGAAGTCCAAGGACCGCCCACCTCCATCCAGGTCTAGTAAGGTGAGCATCCAAACTGCCTAGGCTCCCCCAAAGCCAGTACGTGCAGTAGGATCAAAAACCCATTGCCATTGTTTTTGAGTTCTCAATAGTCCTCATTGTCCGCTTTGTTCAGCGAGTCTGGTTTTATCCCATGCTTTTTCAGACCCAGGCCAACTGGCCTTGGTGAATTCCCTATAGAACATCCGACCACGAGGGGTACAGCCACTCCTTTTTTTTAAATACTCTAGTTTGCTACTTTAAATATGCGATTTGTTCCATATGAACAAACTTTGTATTCACACCTTTTCTGTTACATCTTGAGTTCATTTTAATTCTGAATTTTAGAACTTACTGGAGGACCTTGTAAGCCAGGAAACCCAGGACTGCCTGGAAATCCACGCTCTCCCTAGAAGGAGTTAAAAACAAAGAGTATAGAGAATGAAGAAACAGTAAATAACTGTATAAGTAAACAATGTCTCTCTTCAAATGCCATTTGAAACATACCAGATTACCAAAAATTCATTAGCAACAACTTCCCAATTATTTCAGAATCAACTATCTGTAGCAATTCAGCCTACCGAGATACTTTTAGCCCTACTCATCTTCCCCAACCGAAACTAAAGGAAAAACTCTACCATCGTAATTTGCTTTTCAAAACTATTTTGACACCATCACACCGAAGATTTCTGATTATTGTCACATTTAATAGTTAATGATTTGCCCCAATTTCCTAACCATGTGTTGTATACCTTCTGATTCCAAAGTTATCACTTCATTTTCTTTTATTGTAAACTATTTCAAATTATTTTTGTAAAAAGGAAAAGATGGCAAAGAAGAAGGCTATTAATATCACCAAGAAGACAGGAACAACATTTCTAGCAATCGCAGGCCATTGCAGTTTTAGGTACCTATTTTTTCTCATTCACTGTTGTAAAGTAGCAATATAGACATTTAGTTTAGAAAGCAGTTAAAATAGAGGGAGAAGAAAGAACACCGAAGCAAATTCTTTGCAAATACCCATGTATGCTATAACAATTCTGGGAACAAACCTGTCAGAAGGTTTAAAATGGGAAAATTACTACACCTTTGTGCTTTTGAGTATCAGTGGCTTTCTCTGTATCACCTTTTACACATGGAAAAAAAATAGGTCCAAAGAGAAAGGAATGAGTGTACATATCAAGTTTAGAAAACATTAAAGAATTAGAACCCATACATCGTGGATGCAGCATTCATAGTTTACATACCTAGTGAGAAATGTAAGAAAATTCTAATCTGGCAGTATGCACAATAAAATTATTTAATTTATATATAACTTATTACATAAATGATGCCTGCCCTAAAACATAAATTAATTGTTAGATATTGGAAAGGACTATTTTGTGAAAGGGTAAAAAGATATCTTTAATTATACAATATATACCTGCACATGCATTTGGCTTTCCTCTTTAAAGCTTTGAGTACTGGTTTTCTTGTTGCATAAGGCATGCTGGCAACACATATGTCCCACCCCCCCACGCCCAACCACACTTAAAAAAACAAAGAAAAAAAAACATATTTGTTCCACCAGAACAGGGTCAAGAAAGGAGTTTACTTCCTCATGAAATTGTTTATTGTCATAACTAATAATGATCCTATCATCAAAGACTGCCTGAACTAGAATGAAGAACACAAATAAATCTCTCAAATATTGATATTTGCCTTACAAATAAATCTATACATTAAAAATTATAAGTGTTAGGGCACACATGGTGCACATTTAGTTCCAGAACTTGGGAGGCAGAGACAGATGGATTGCTGTAAGTTTGAGGCTAGCCAAAGCTACATAGTGAGATTCTGTGTCAAGAAAAATGTTACTATTGGCAATCATTAAAGAGACCTGGGAAATACTAAGGTTGAAAATTATTGTGTTGGTTTTGTGTATGTTTTAAAGGTTCTCAGAAAACATGTTCATTGTAATGCAAAAAGTTAAAGTATATACCGTAATGTAAAAATACGGCACATGTCTTCATTAAAAATATATAGGGTAGATGTAGTTTTATAGAATATTATGCAGAAAACAGAAAATGCTTTAAAAAATAAATAGTGCATTTATGTAAAAGGAAATGCAAAACAAGAAAATAAGAGGCCACAATATATCATTTTACAAGAAGAGCAAATTTTCCTCTCTCTATTGCTGTATATTAATGTCAAATTTTTGACTCAAAACAAGAAAAGTGCCATTATCTAACAAATTCTTCTGCAGTTAAGTGAATCATTTTTGCTGATGAAAAACTTGTAGTTTCCCGGTGACAGCTAAGGAAGTTAAGAAAAATAAAGCATGAGTCAGTGAGATGGTTCAGTAGAAGTTTAGTCTTCTGCTAAGACCCAGACAGTTTGAATTTGATACCCACATCCCACATGGTGGAATAAAATAATCAACCCACGTAAGTTGTCCTCTACCTCCAAGTGTGTTCCAAGGCATACATGAGCCCCTTCCTCCACTGTATAAATAACATTCCATAAAGTTTTTAAACTCAAAACATAGACTATACAAAATATAGACAGCATCTATTTGTAAGGCAAAATTAATAAAAGATATTACCAGTATTATTTATAGCAACTTCTATAGTATGTGAAACACATATATCCTAATTCACTTTTAATATCCAAACTACTTTACATGAAGGTTTTGTAAGTAACCTCTAATCCAATGCACTATTGCCACTAGTTTGACAGGCTGAAATAAATCACTGATATCTACTATACTGAAAAGGCTGACTTAGACACAAAGTCACTTTATCGCTTTTCAGACTTTTAAATCTAGTATGATCCACATATTGTCCACAATTAAGCTCAATAAACCTCACCTTTGTTCCGTTGCATCCAGGGATACCTTGAGGTCCTGGAGCTCCATCATGGCCTGGCATTCCCTTTAAAAAGGCATACAACACACTTATAGCATCCCTTAATTATCTTTCAGAAGATCTTACAATAATCAAAATCATACTTACCGGAAGACCTGGTGTCCCCGGAAATCCTGGAAGTCCAGGAGGACCCTATAACAATAAATAAATCCCTTGAGGTAGTGACGAGGCGATTACCAACCACTGTTGTTTTAATGACCACAGAAGAGCTCTTTCCTTGAGATGTTTTGAAAATCCCTTTTACAGAAAACTAGAGGCTCCTGTTTCCAGGCACATTTGCTCCATTACACTTACTAGCTGCAAGCAAAGGCGTGGTGGAAATGTCCGTCTTAACACAAAATTCCTTCAGATCTGTGAATAATGAATTTACTAGGAGATAAGAAGGTAACAAATGGATCTTCCGCTGAGGACATTAATGTAACTAACCTCAAACATCTTTCAATTAAATTTCCCTTTCAGGACTGGCACAATCCAACTTGACAACTGTTTCTGTTGGCGAGGATATAGGGAAAATAGTACTCTCATCAGTACTGTAAACACAGACTCAAGTGTTATGGCAGAATATTTGGAAAGAGCTACCAAAATTGACATGCACATAACCTTTAACCTAACAACTCACTTCTATGTCTCTATCCCAGGGGCACACTATAAATTAGGGAACACAATATGATATTTAAGGTTTGTGTCTGCAGCACTATTACAGCAAGGTTTGGAAAAAATGAGCAGAAGACGTTTCTGATAGACTGTATGCCGGAAAGCAAGAAAGTCACAGTGACCAGTGACTTCGGTAAAAAGCATAGTGGGCAGGAATCAAACTTGAAAAGACTCCTACCAGGTCAAAGATGGGACAAAATGCGGTTCAAAAGAATAATATGCAGTGTTCTCAGCACTGTCTGCGAGTTTAATTAAGTCCAGTTAAGTCTACCGAGTAAGACTTTATCTCAAAAAGTAATAACTACAATTAACTGAAACATTGAATCAAATGTATTTTTAATGAAAAAAATCCTCAAAAAATCCTTCCTTGAACAATACTTCAAGTAGTTGTTCGAACAGTTCATTCATTTATTAACATTCCAGCTAAAATGGTGGCCTGAGGAAATTAGGACTGACTTAAAAATAATCTACAAATTGTTACCGTAAAGCAAGAATAGAGTGGCTAATCGTTACTGAAGCACGCTGAAGTTTTCAGTGGCAAAGTGAAAGACGTGAGGGATTTCCTTTAAAATATTTGCATAAATAGTGCTTGTTTAGAGACAAAATGTCAAAATGTTCGATTGTTTTGAAGATAAAACTAAGCACAAGGAAGTTGAATCTATTGTGTGCTCTCTGCATTTGTCTAAACGTAATCTTTTTCACTTTTAAACTGCACATCAAGAGTAATTTGAGTTGGCTGTTAGTATTCAGACACCTGTACTGACCTGACCCTGGGGTGTATGTCCTTAGCTGTAGCCACTAAGAGCTCCTCCTGTGCATGTTCACAAAGTTCCCTTTTAAAAGGGCCCTGCCCACCTCCCATCACTCTCTTTCTATCTCTCCCTCTCCACACATATTCTCCCACACACAAAATCAATCTCTCTCTCCCTTCTTTTCTTTTCTGACACTCCTGTCCCCGGAGGGTGGTCTCACCTCCTCCCTCACCCTTTTATCTTCCCTTTCCTCTAATAACGCCTCCAAGTGAACTCTGTTGCATGGTGTCTTTCTCTTGAGCACTGTTTTTTTTTTTTAATTACAATACCAGATGGTGGTGGCACACGCCTTTAATCCCACTACTTGGGAAGCAGAGGCAGGTGGATATCTGTGAGTTTGAGACCACCCTGGTCTACAAATCAAGTTCCAGGACAGCCAGGGCTGTTACACAGAGGAAACCTTGTCTTGAAAACAAAAGAAATAAAGAACAACAAGATAAAAGTAGTCTGTAAGCTGAGACCTAAAGATACGGCTACCATATCAAGCACTTCTAAAGTTATACTTCAGAAACTGGAACAGGGTCTAATTGAACACCTCCCAGCTATCTAGAAGCAGCCATTAGTAGAATGACCAATTCTTTTTAGTTTCCACAGTATGCAGTATGTATCATGCAGAAGCTATAAATGGCTATTGAGAGATACAGTGTTAGTATTATAAAGAGCTTTAACTGTATATATGTGCATATATATATATATATATATTTACTACAAAAATCAGTGATACCTGACAAATTAAACTAACGGTTTCGACTTTCTTAATTTTTTCCAGACTGTATCCACAGCAGTCATAAATGCCACTTAAGAAATTTACATGGATTTTTTAATTTGGTTTTGAATTTTTTTGTTTTGAATTTTTTGGAGACAAATTCCCAATTCTGTACAAAATGCTGGCCTGGAACTCAAAGCAATCTTCTTGTTCTGAGTATTCCAACTGCTAATAGTACATATACGATGTGCCAATCTGGGATACCACATGGCACTAAAAAATTATGCACCCAATGGAATATTTTTGAAGCTTTGTGCAAGATTTATTTATCTAAATGTTTGACTATCAAATAATTACAATATTTTGGGGGTGTAATAATAATTCATATATGAGCAGGCACCTAATAGTCAAAGTAAGAGATATTATGCTATAAACAGAAGTTTGGAGCTAAAAGAGACCTTGGAGATACACTCTTTACCTTTAGCAGTGAAGCAACTGAAGGTCAGAGAAAATAGATCTTGTCTTTGGAAAAATCACCACTATTAGTAATAAACCACTATCCTCTAATTTTTCTTATTATTCTCTTTGGGGGTTTTGAGACGGTTTCTCTGCATAACTCTGCCTTTCCTAGAACTCACTCTATAGACCAGGCTGGTCTTTAGCTCATAAATCTGCCTGCCTCTGCCTCCCAAATGCTGGAATTAAACCATGCCTCAGTATTCTATAATTCTAAAAACAGCCATATGCATACCAGCACTGAAAAAAGGTAGGCATTAGCTGTCAACTTGACAGAGTCTAGAATCACCTGGGAGATGACATGTCTGTGGAGGATTATCTTGATTACATCAATTGATGTGGGAAGACATCGAAATTGTTGGCATTTACCTTAAGCAGGGGATCCTGAACTGGATAAAATGGAGAAAGTAAGCTGTACACTAGTATGAATGTATTCACCATGTTCTGCAGCTGATTGTAAAAGTGATGTGACCAACTGTTAAAAACTCTTATTGTCCACCCTGATGGACAGCTTGAACTCATGAACTGTAAGTCAGAATAAACCCCTTCTCCCTTAAGTTGCCTTTATCAGGGAATTTTTTTTCATTGCAACAGTAAAAGACGGACATTGGTAACTAGAATTGGAACCATTGTTGGAATAAAACTGACCATGCAGTTCTCAGGCCTTTAGAGCTGGTTTTCAGGAGGAATGTGGAAGAGTTAAAATAGTGACTTGGAAAAGTCCCTGAATGCTATAATCAGAGGATAAAGCCTTTTCTGCTGGGAACTTGGAAGACAAGAACACTGGGGGGGGGGGGGGGATGTGTAAAGCGGAAACTGGTCATTGAGATGTCAGAGTGAAAAAGGACTCTAATTAGCAACTGGGCTAGAGGCCATTCATGTGATATTTTGGCCAACAATCTGCCTCTATGCTGCTTATTAAAAGTCGATTGAAGGTAAATTTCAAGATAATGGGTTAACTTGTTTGGCAAAGGACATTTCAATGCAGGAGAGAATTCAGTTTAGTATTGGTAACATAGCTATAATTGTTACAAAGTTCAGAACTACTGAAAACAAACATCATACATTGCATCAGGACAAAAGAAAAGGTGTCCTGAAGGCAAAACTCCAGTCACCAGAGGTCCTTCAAGAGCTAGCAGTAGAACTTGGCAATGTAGCTCATTTGAGAGACATGGAAGCTTGAAAAAGAATGTAAGGCCAGAGGATTTGTGGTGTGGTTGAAGTTCCTGCAAAGAAGCCCTAAGAGGCCAGTGTGTGAAGTTGTAAAGGTAAACCATAAGTTACAGCTAAGACAACAGGATAGTGGAGATACCAGGAATCATGGACAGCTGCCAAGGAAAGCTGTGGGCATAGAATTAAGCCAGCCTAGGAAGAGTAGATGTGTGCTTCAGGGGGCAGAACTGAATGCATGGGGCGGATCAAGTGGTTTGGACTCCAGCTGATGAGACTACAAATCCCAGAGTTTGGACTTGAAGCTGCAGGATCTGATGTTTGTTCTGTTTGATTTTGTTTTATGTTGAAGTGATTATTGTGGCTATGTCTGAGTTCTTCTAATTTAGAATAGGGGTATTTACTCTGTGCCAATATTATGCTGGAAGTATATACCTTTTTTTTTTTATTTTACAGACGCTCACAGTTAAGACACTGAGGACTATGGGGACTTTAGATGTTGGATTGAATGCATTTTACATTATATTATTCTCATGGGTCTATGAGAGCAAGGCATGGAAAGTTATGGCTTAAAAGTGATGGGTTTAGGTGTCAAGCTTAGAAGGAGTAAAGTTGTAATATTTTATTTTAGCTGTCTACCTGACAGAATCTATAATTACCAGAGAAACAGCTATCTGGACATGCCTGTGAAGATTACCTTGATTACATTAATTGGTATGTGAAGATCCATTTTAATTGTGCTCAGGATCGTTCACTGGGAAGGGGATCCTGGACTAGATATGATAGAGAAAGAAAAAGGGGCACAAGTATGCTGGTTGATTTTGGCTTTCCATTGTGAAAGTGATGTGATCAGTTGCTTCAAACCCCTGCTTCCTTGACTTCCCCACAAGAAAGGATATTACCCTTCAATTGTGACTCAGAAAATAAACGCTAACACGAATAGGGAAAATTTCACAGGTCCCCACTCTCAGACAAAGGAAGAACTATAGATAATTACTTTTGAGAGAGGGTGACTTAATGATCCCCAGGGAAGAGCTTTCTAATTGATTATCCAGTAACAACTGCTCAGCCTTGAAATAGTAAACATTATTACACATAAAAGCAACACTAAATAGATTCAACATGTTGTATCTAATATATTTACATGTGTGTACAACAATAACTAGTTTATCATTGTTGTCTCCTATCATTTCGCGTGTTTTTATCTGTTGACATCAACAAAGCATTTACCATACACTGCCTATTGCTTACCCTGATTCCTTTTGGTCCTGCTGGCCCGGGAATTCCATCATCACCCTGAAAAACACAATATGTTAGTTCTTTTGTCCTTCAAATCAGTCATCAAATGACTAATTTTCCATTATAGCAGCCTTAAACTTTGTAAAAATATCTGAAAGTTTGTGTTAAAATTATACACCCAAAGAAGGTTTATTATTAAGAGTAAACACACTTATAAATTATATGAACAACATCAAGAAAAGTCATTATTTTACTGGGGAAAGCGCTGCCATGAAGATGAAGTTTTACATGCATAAAGTTGTATGCAAGGCATTCAAGAAAAAGAAGATAAGCTAGCAATGCAGCTATTTCCCAAATCATTTGTGCAATAAAAAAAAAGAATGGAAGGAAGACAGCCTCAAAATTTTGACTATTTCTATGGCATATTTAAGCTGCAGTTGTACGTGCTGTTCTTGAATTTCTGCTTTTATCTTTTCATTTATTTCAGAAAGCACCTTCTACTGGCAGAACTTAACAATCATGAACTCGCTCTTCCAAATTCTGCTCTCTACTCCTGGCAAATACTCCCTAACCATTTCAAGTCATGCCTGTATCACTGACATTTTTAAATCTACCTTAGTGAATTTTTGTTAAGGATTTTCTTTTAAATTTTTAATAAAGAAAAACTAATATTTGATATAAAGTAGCATATCCACAGGTTCTGGCAGCAAAGATATGGATATTCTTAATGAAAAGGCCATAAGTCTCCATGAAATATTCTCCTTTTTAAAAGTTTAATGATATACTCATTCCAAAGCAGACACAGTTACAAGAAGATTAAATGAATTCCGATTCCCAGTTAAAATAACAAGAGGTCTTGTTCAATAAATATTTTATGCCTGCTTACTGTAGGCAGAAATAAGACAAGAATCCTTCAACATTGCACCAGTTAGATCAAGCAGCAAGGTTAAAGCAGAGGAATAATTTTAGGAAAGAAACTTGGAAAGCTAGAAGTTATGGAGGACATCTATCATCTCAACACTCAAGAGCCTAATGCAAGAAAATGGCCACAAGTTTGAGGCCAGCATTATCTACATACAGAGTTCCAGGACAGGTAGACCACAGAGTAAGACTATTTTAAAACAAAACAAGAAAGAGTGGGAAAGAATGGAGCTGAGGTTATACCTGGATAGGGCATTTGCCTAAAACCTGCAAGGCCCTGAGTTCAATCCCTAGCACTACATTAAAAAGGAGAACATTTTACAACGGAGGAGATAAAGCCACGATTTGCAAATGATATGACTGTATGCCTGAAAACCAAGGTATTTAAACTACTATAACAATATGATGAGTTTACAATTATATAAAAAGCTAACATTAAAAACTCAAAAGCCTTGTTATAGGACCACTTTAGGAGATATAATAGGAGAAAATATCCCACCTATACATGTTAAAACAAAGTATTCTGTAGTGAATTTAACAAGAAAATGCACAAGATTTATAAGAGCAAAAGTTTAAAACACTTGTGAAGTTCACAGACAAATGAGTAAAAAAAGAAATTCCATGTTGTTAAATAAAGGAATTCAACATTTTAAAAGTAAACCACAATTTTTTTTTTTTAGAAATTTTATACAATGAAAATAGATTTAGCCGAATCCTCGGGGCACCCAAGCGGGCGGGAGTCTCTTTGTTTCTATGGCCTGCCTGCACCAAGCAGGGTAGGCGCTTTGTTTGCAACCTGCCCACCAGCACGGAGGCCTGATCTCTAGGCGCCAGGAGACCCAGCGTTGGGGTGAGTTTCTGACCCTGCAGCGCCAGCCTGGGAAGGGGAGTTCGGAGGTTCCTTGGCCCCCTATCCCTCTTGAGCTCTAGGCAGGGCCCCCACTCCCTGCATACCTCCTCTTTCTTCCTAGCCCACCCAGCTCCCATCCAGAACCCTCCCCAATTTGCCCCACCGCCCTCTTTCTGCACATAACATCACCCAGCCCAGCCTGTCTGGGCACTGGGTCCGAATCCTCGGGGCACCCAAGCGGGCGGGAGTCTCTTTGTTTCTATGGCCTGCCTGCACCAAGCAGGGTAGGCGCTTTGTTTGCAACCTGCCCACCAGCATGGAGGCCTGATGTCTAGGCGCCAGGAGACCCAGCGTTGGGGTGAGTTTCTGGCCCTGCAGCGCCAGCCCGGGAAGGGGAGTTCAGAGGTTCCTTGGCCCCCTATCCCTCTTGAGCTCTCGGCAGGGCCCCCACTCCCTGCATACCTCCTCTTTCTTCCTAGCCAACCCAGCTTCCATCCAGAACCCTCCCCACTTTGCCCCACCGCCCTCTTTCTGCACATAACATCACCCAGCCCAGCCTGTCTGGGCACTGGGTCCGAATCCTCGGGGCACCCAAGCAGGCGGGAGTTCCTTTGTTTCTTTGGCCTGCCTGCACCAAGCAGGGTAGGTGCTTTGTTTGTCACCTGCCCATCAGCACGGAGGCCTGATCTCTAGGCGCCAGGAGACCCAGCCTTGGGGAGACCCAGCATTGGGGAGAGACAACGTTGGGGAGATCCAGCATTGGGTAGGCAAGGAGACCTGATCCGGTAAAGAAGATCCATAAGGGAGCATTTGGTAGAAGAGATGGGTAGACGCCAAGGCAAGAATTCGCCCAACAAGCTGAAAAGCAACATGAAGCCACCAGAAACCAGCGACCTCACAACGGGAGGACATGAAAACCTTAATCAAGAAGAAGTAGAAAAGGTTGACTTCATGAAAGTGATTGACGCCCTTAAACAGCATGTAAAAAATGCCCGTATAGAAATGGATGAGAAATATAACAGAAAGTTTGAAGAACTGAATAAATCAGTGAATGATACCCTAGAAAACCAAAAAAAAAAAAACAATAAAACAGATAATGGAAACGGTGCAAGACTTGAAAACTGAAATGGAGGCAAAGAAGAAAACACAAAAAGAGGGCCGGCTGGACATGGAAAATTTAAGTAAACAAACAGAGTCTACAGAAACTAGCATAACCAACAGAATACAAGAGATAGAAGAAAGAATCTCAGATTCTGAAGATACCATAGAGAAAATAAACACTCTGATCAAAGAAAACAGCAAGTCCAACAAACTCTCATCACAAAATATTCAGGAAATATGGGACACAATAAAAAGACCAAACCTAAGAATAATAGGAGTAGAAGAAGGAGAAGAAGTGCAGCTCAATGGTCCAGAAAATATATTTAATAAAATTGTAGAAGAAAACTTTCCCAACCTAAACAAAGATATACCTATGAAGGTTCAAGAAGCATACAGAACACCGAATAGGCTGGAACAAAAAAGAACATCCCTTCGCCATATAATTATCAAAACACAAAGCATACAGAATAAGGAAAGAATATTAAGAGCTGCAAAGGAAAAAGGCCAAATTACTTATAAAGGTAAACCTATCAGACTTACACCTGACTTCTCCATGGAAACCATGAAAGCCAGAAGGTCCTGGATAGATGTACTTCAGAAACTAAGAGACCATGGATGCAAGCCCAGATTACTATACCCAGCCAAGCTTTCATTCACTATAAATGGAGAAAACAAAATTTTCCAGGATAAAAACAAATTTAAACGATACGCAGCCACAAATCCAGCCTTACAAAAAGTAATAGAAGGAAAATCACTAACCAAGGAGTCCAACAATGACCACAATAACTCAGACAACTTGAGACCCTTCACCAACACAAATCAAAGAAGGGAAACACACAAACTCTACGACTAAAAAAATGACCGGAGTTAACATCCACTGGTCATTAATATCACTTAATGTCAATGGACTCAACTCACCTATAAAAAGGCACAGGCTTAGAGATTGGATAAAAACAGGATCCAACATTCTGCTGTTTACAAGAAACACACCTCAACCACAAAGACAGGCACCTACTCAGAGTAAAGGGCTGGGAAAAGGCTTATAAAGCAAATGGACCTAAGAAACAAGCAGGTGTGGCCATACTAATTTCTAACAAAGTTGACTTCAAACTTAAATCAATCAGAAGAGATGGAGAGAGAGATTTTATACTCATAACAGGAACAGTTCAGCAGGATGAAGTCTCAATTCTAAACATCTATGCCCCTAATTTAAAAGCACCCACGTACATAAAAGAAACATTGCTAAAACTCAAGGCAGCCATCAAACCGCACACACTAATAGTAGGAGACTTCAACACTCCTCTCTCACCAATGGACAGGTCAATCAGACAGAAACCTAACAGAGAAATAAGAGAATTAATGGAGGTAATGAATCAAATGGACTTAACAGACATCTATAGAACATTCCACCCAAATAGGAAAGAATATACCTTCTTCTCTGCAGCTCATGGAACCTTCTCAAAAATCGACCACATAGTCGGTAACAAAGCAAACATCCACAGTTACAAAAAAATATTAGTAACCACCTGTGTCTTATCAGATCACCATGGATTAAAGTTAGAATTCAACAACAATGCTACCCCCAGAAAGCCTACAAACTCATGGAAACTGAACAGTCAACTACTGAACCATACCTGGATTAAGGAAGAAATTAAGAAAGAAATTAAAGTCTTCCTGGAATTCAATGAAAATAAAGAAACAACATACTTAAACGTATGGGACACTATGAAAGCAGTCCTAAGAGGAAAGTTCATAGCACTAAGTGCCCACCTAAAGAAAACAGAGAAAGCTCACATTGGAGACTTAACAGCCCAACTGAAAGCTCTAGAAAAAAAAAGAAGCAGACTCACCTAGGAGGAGTAGACGACTGGAAATAATCAAACTGAGGGCTGAAATCAACAAAATAGAAACACAGAAAACAATCCAAATAATCAATGAAACAAAAAGCTGGTTTCTGGAGAAAATCAACAAGATTGACAAACCCCTATCCAAACTAATCAAACGACAGAGAGAGAATTTGCAAATTAATAAGATCAGAAATGAAAAGGGGGACATAACCACAGACACAGAGGAAATTCAGAGAATAATTAGATCTTACTACAAAAGCCTATATGCCACAAAACTGGAAAATGTAAAGGAAATGGACACTTTTTTAGATAAATACCATATACCAAAGTTAAACCAG